TGTCTATGTCCCTCCATAAGGATTCGAGAAAACCTGCAATCATCTGTCTCATTAGGCAACATATTCATTTCAGTAGAGAAATCTGTGAAACCAAAACTTTTATGCAGCAATCAATTGCATAAATGATTAAATACACACGCTTTTCAGCGTAAAAGAATTTCGAAACCTTCATATATTCATCTCATCAGGAAGAGTGATGTCAAACTGATCGTACAACTCTAACGATGAATAATACCGGAAGCCAGTGCTATAAATTTAACATACACAGAATTCCCAAAGATTAGTGTTCTAGTTCATATAGCTGCACGGAGTACGCGTTGTTCGTATGGCAGTTTTATTAAAATGAACTTCCATTTACGGCTCTTGCCATCTTCCATTTTCGGACCATGAAGCAGTATCTCGTCAATAACCTCTTAATTATGTGCAAGACAATACTTTAATCATCATTACTTTTAACAAAGCGATATTCTACTCTACTCAAACCTACGAGGAGGGGGATTCGAACTAAAGTGCAAGGGGGCGGGGCACTGCTAGCCAATTGGCCTAACCCACACATGCATACTTCAATCATCATTTGGCATTTGCCTAATATCACTCTCTATGCACAGACATTTGGGGCAAGTTTTGGTTCCCCCAAACAAAAGCATTCAATCATAATATGCCACTCCAAATGGAAACCCAAAATTCAGATAGCACCTAACTCTCTCTCTCTCTCTCTCTCTCTAAATGCAGACATTGGTTAGGCAAAGTTGACCACGGCAGTGCGCCCGCCTCTTAGCACCTAAGTTCGAATCCTCCAACCCGTAGTTTAGAATATCGCCTTGTCAAAGTTCGAGGCATTTATACACATACGTTACCTAAATGTTTCCCCAAATGCCAAACCACCAAAAGACAAAAACAACGTAAAAGTTTTGAGCTTTACTACAAACAACCAAAAATTCCCAATTGGGGTACTTCCAAAATGCTAAATAAACAAAACCCAAATCCAAAAATTGAGGAAAAAAAGACGTACTCGAAACGCGATCGTAGACGTCGGCGGCGGACTCCCCCTCCGGAAACCGGTAGAAGAACCGGCCGAACCGCTCCCTGGTCTCCTTAGTGGCCTTCATCCGCTCCTGCACTTGGAAGTTCCCGAAATCCTGCTCCCGTATCCGGCACTCCTCGCGGACGCCGATGATCCGCGTCCTGGAGAATGACCGTCCGATCTGGCAGAGCGTGGACCGCGTCCGCTCGTAAGGGGAGACGTAGAAGTAGACGCGCCAGTTGGGGCTGTCGGCGCCGGTGGTGTCGGAGACGACGCGGTGGAGCTCGGCCCCGGCGAGCCGGGCCTGTGCCAGGCCCTCTTGGGTGAGTGGGATTTTGTTGTCGGGGGTGGTGGTGTAGGCGGCGTGGTCGAGATTCCCTTCGGACTCGCCGTGCCGCATTAGGATTATCCGCTTCGGTAGAACTGGCTGTAATCTCCCCTTGGAATTTTGTTGCTGCATTTTAAGACCTCTCTCTCTCTAAGATTTTCAGTCTGGAAAATCAGAGTTTCAAATGATGGAGTGTGACAATGTTGGCTTTTGGTTTCACTCCCTTAATTTATGGACTCTCTCTAGTTCCCTTAACATAGCTTTTTTGTAATTAAAAAAAAAAAGTAACAGCTCGAGTTTCGTTATGATAGTTTATTTTTTTAAGGCACGGAAAGATTCACATAAGCATTTCAATTTCATTGATCACTATTTTATGATTTAATAGCATGAGGAATGACACTCATAACATATCGTGTAAAATACGAATATGAAAGTCGTCCTCAATTACTACATCTATAATGATAGTTTTAAATCTTTTAACTTTACTCGCGTCTGACTTTTTTTAATATTTTTTTCAAAGTATAACAAACAAAAAAAGAATGTGTATTTTGTGAAAATGGTGACCGACTACCTTGGGTCGACTGCCAACTCAACACTTCAATTATTAAACGTGTCGGTTCAGACCACCAGCAGTCCACCATACCCAGTGTCGCATCCGACGGCGAAGAATAAAAGAAGAAAATGGAAAAACACAATGGAGACGCGGGGAATCGAACCCCGTGCCTCTCGCATGCGAAGCGAGCGCTCTACCATATGAGCTACGTCCCCGCTGTTGTTTAATTGAACATGTATATTTATTTAAACAGAAGAAGAGATAATGTTAGCTTGACCCTTTCTATTCATTCTATAAAAGCACAATGGTTAACTATAATTTATATCAATTAGAGGCCGTTTGTTAATAATTTTGTCTTCAGTTTTCAATTTTTGGAAAAACAAAAAATAAAAATGATAACGTGAAGACTTAATGCTAAACTTTGTAAACTCAAGGAAATAGTTTCCATTTTTTTTTTTTTTTGAAAACTGAAAATAGTTACCAAACAATATTTTAATTTTCAAAACAAAAAATGAAAACTGAAAAAACAAAATGATTAACAAATGGCCCCTTAATTTGTTATTATTATTTTTTTACTCAACCACATCCACACAACACAATTGATTGACAGGCTCTTAGGGGATGTTATGTTCCTACATATATAGTCTAGAGATGATGTACAACTCTTAGCACTTTCTTAAGAAACTAACAAGGGACAAATATTTGAACAATCGTGAATTCAACGGTCAATACTCCAGTAATTCTCATCCACAATCCCAATAAATTTAATCTTACTCATTGATGTCTTCAGTGCTCAAAATTTATCCCTTGGGTGAACACTACCTGATATTAACTTTCTTCTTAGTCAGTCGATTCATGATAGTTTCTTTCAAATGTAAAAGTATGAATAGAATTCGAAACTTGTAAAATAATGATAGAAGCGAGGATAGTCATAAGTGTCGATATGTCCGAGTGGTTAAGGAGACAGACTTGAAATCTGTTGGGCTTCGCCCGCGTAGGTTCGAACCCTGCTGTCGACGTTTATTTTATTTCATTTTTTTCGCCTTTAATTAACTTTTTGTTCCACTGATTTTTTTTTTTGTTTAATTATTTATCAATTCCTTTGGCAAATAACATAAACTGAAATCTACTTGCTAACCAGTTAAATATGCTGTAACAAATTAAGAACTGCAATGATCAAAGAACTTATAAATTAAATTGTTATTAAGGCTCGTTTCATAATCATCCTTTTTGTTTTGTTTTAAGTTTTACGTTAGAAATGGGGGAGAATACATTGGAATAAATAAAAGATACAAAAGCGTGAAGGAAAGATATAGTTGAAGCGATGCAGGAGCAATGCACAAACAGAGAACGCAAAATGAAAACTAAAAATCAAAGGACGATGTAAGTTGTTTTTACTATCAAATTATATTTTTATTCTCTCATCACCTTTCTTAATCATTTTTTCTCCAATATATATACTATCTATTTCAAACAAATAAAAATAAAAATAAACCGAAAAAACAGAATGATTATCAAACGACCACGATTATGAGTATGTATAGATTTTAGTCAATAATATATAATTGATGTATGCCTCTTACGATGCTGTTATCGTATTGTATAGCTGGCAATGAATTTTTTGTTGGTCGAAGTCTTCCGACCTTTTAATGGTAGCAGACTAGCAGTCAAAACCATTCCCAGAAAAACCCTAACCATTTTAATTTCGTTCCTGTATATTTTTTGTCTTTAATCTGTACGTTACCTCGCAACAAGTCCCTCTCAATCCCTTTCTCTGCAGTTGACTGGTGGTGATAACAATATTATTAGCTCAAGCTTATCTACATAGTAGTAAATATGAACCACTTGTCACCCAAATTATAGGGCCAACATTCTAATCATAGATAATTGACTTATGCATGCACATATCTTAACTTCAACACGAATCCCATGAAGCTCATGAGTGGTTAGGTAGCATTTTTAGTTAACTAACTAGCTAGCCAGCCAAACTTCAACACGTGTGCAACATATAATCACCAAATTTTAAGAGATTCAACATTTTCCATCCATTTTGTGTTTAGTTTCTTTGTCACCTGAATCACTGCAGATTGATATGTGTTAAAATTATGGTTACAAAGTTAAGAAAAGTTAAGTTTATTAAAACGTGTCAATCAATAAAAAGATCACAAAGAAGGCAACACAAAATGAATGCTGAAGATCTGAACTCAAATTCTAAACGACCAACTTGGTATTAGACTAGTGCTTGTCAGTACTGGTGGTCAATTTATCCATCAATTTGTTTGTCTCAATTAATCAGTGAACATCAAAATTTTAAGCCATCTTATCTAATTCCATATAATATATATTTTTTGAAAGAAATATCTGCATGAAAAGATCATCGAGTGTGGATATTTGAAATTATTGCCATGTGCAAAATAGGACGGATAATATAATAGAGGATGATGTATCATGTATGTGAAAGAAAATAAGAATTTTTTTTTATTTTTAAAATGTATAAGAAGATTGTTTGGTATACGAAGTATCACGATAATTGATTAAATACTTTAAAAAATAATTCAACTAATTGCTTGTGATACTTAATGTGCAGTATCATGTTACACGCGCAATGAAAAATTTCTCCGAAAAACAGTGGAACTAACATCAACTGACCTCATTAATAATACATAAATAAAAAATAAAAAAAAAATCAGAAACCAGTAGCAGATTGCATTGGAAATATAAGTGGAAATAGCGTGCTATATATAAATATATCTTAAGTCTGAAAAACAGAAACTTCCGGAATTTGGGAAACGCAAAGTGATATGATCATCTGTGCATGTGTGTTTCTTTGCTAGGGCCTTCTGGGCCTCTGCGTTTCCAGAGTCTTCATCTGCAGAGCCTGCCTGCTGTCAACGGCAGAGATTTCACACCGTCTTCACATTAAATTGGCAGAAAAGTGTTGAGACACGTCAACCATGCAATTTATATTTCACTCACATTCACAATAGTACTAATGCTAATTAATCAACTTAATCAGCATGTACATAAGATAATTTACAATCGACCGGATTAGTTTTTTTTTTTTTTTTTTTTTTTTTTTAACAAAGAATAGGAAATCCATGATAAATTCATCTAAACTTTATGATGAGTAAATTCAAACTTAATACAGAGAAAGAGCAATCTGCTTTAATCAATTTGGCTAAGCCAAAATGTGCCCTCTCTACCATTAATTAATTAAGCTGGCCCTTTTAACCCTAATTTCGAGGAAATGCCCTAATTAACTACTTGTCTCCTTCTCAACGCTGCCACTTGAACATCATGCCATGTTCTCCTGATCTGCTAGCCAAGTGATGAGATCATGCTATCATCACCTGGTTGTCACGCAATGCTGCTGCTGGCTCCACACAGGCAAGTTGCGGTGGTGGTGGTGGTGGTGATGGACATGGTGGTGGTTCACCAGATTTTGACACCGCCGAAACCCTTCTGCTCCTCCCTTCAGCCACTCTCCACCAACACTGTCTTCCTCTTTCTCCTCCTCCTCCTCCTTCTCCTCCTCAACAATTTCCTCCTCATCATCAAGAAATGCTTCTTCTTCTCCTTGTACTTCTTCTATGCCTTCTAATATTGGTTCTTCCTCTTCTTGAATGTGAGGTTCGTGGCTAACAAGATGCAATCTCAACCGTCCATCTTCACGATAAGCTCTAAAAATCTCAGGCCTATAAATCCTTACCTCCGTAAGCTCCAACCTCCCATCTTTCCTCTCAGGCCTCAGATAATACCTAGGGTGTCCATTTTGATTCAACGATGAAAGCGGTGGAGGATACTTCTTAGGCTCCACTCTCCTCTCCCCCATCTTCGTCCATTTCGGCGCTCTCTTCATCGAGTGCCTCAGCATCCTCAAACATGCATCCTCCTCGACACCATCTTGATCATTCTCATCAACCTTCTCATGAACATGGCTGATTCTTTCAATGATCTGATGATCGTCCACCAGCCTCTCGTTCGAACTTTCAAACCCTAGACTCTCCGTGCACGACGTCAAGCCGTCCACGCCACCTCCTATGTCGTCTATGAACCCAAACCCACCTGGATCTTTCTTTTTTCCAAATTCAAACACCACCGGCGGCAAAGCTTGTGTTGATGAATCTGATGGTGATGACGAGGAGGAGGCGGCGGATGAGGAGGATTTGATGGATGAAGATTCCAAAACAAAAGTTTGACTTTTTTCGTGATCGTTTTCGGTTGCAGCAACCAACCCCAGTAACCCTCCTCCTCCTGATCTTGTAGAACTTAAAGGAGAAATGTAACGGTGACATTTTAATGGGAGCTTTTCATGACCATCAATGGAGGTTGTTGTTGTGGCGGTGGTAGTAGTTGTTGTGGTGAGGCCAGGGATAGAGTGAGGAGTGATCTTTCTACAAAAGCTAATCATCATAATTGGGTTTAAAACAATTATAATATTAGTAAGCTTATTATTTTTATATAGATTCAATAGAGAAATGAATAGAAGGAGGAGGAGGAGGAGGAGGAGGAGAGGATAGCAGTAGTAGTAGTACATAGAAAAGAAGCAAGAAGAAAAAATAGGTTCGGTTTTGTAATTTGCAAAGGAAAAATGGCGAGGAAAGAGAGGAGTGGGAATGCTATTAAAATATAGACCTCTCACCAAAGATAGGGCAACCAAAATGCATGATGGTAGAAACAGAAAGTTAGAGAGTATAGTGGGTGGTGCTAGTGGGAAGAATGGTGAAGAGAGCGCCAGCGTGGCAAAAAAAAAAAAAAAATGGAAATCCTTTCCGAACTTCTTAGTTCGGAGTTAACGAATATAAAATCAGAGTCGTTTAAACGAAAGAAAGAAATATGAACTTTTAATTATGTAAAGCGAATCAGTTGAATAGACTAATAAAGATTGTAAATTTTTTAAATAAATGGTTCGGATTTTTATGTTCGTTAACTCCAAACATAGAAATTCGAAAACGATCCCAATTATAAAAGAGAAGTGTTATTAGCATTTCAAAAATTTCATTTTACACTTCTTATCCATGCATTTTTCTTTACAAATATAAAAAATTTAAAATATTGAATTAGATTTTTAAAATATCAATAACAATTCCCTTATAAAAAAAAGTATAAAAGATGAAGAAATAAAGGAGAGAAATTATATGAGCTGTAGTGAATCGTGATGGAAAGTAGGGAGCAAAGTATGCCGGGTCCCACGTAGGATGGCCTCGGACATCTGCCTTTATATTCCACTAGCCTTCATAACGCAATCCTCATCACCAACTTCTCTTCACAATTACTTGTTTTTTAAGAATTCACAAATTAAATGATTTATCATTAATAATAAATGAGTACGAATTTAATTATCAACTTCTATATCATTAGTTTATAAAATTTTATTTACGAATTTAGTTTCCTTAGCAGTACCAGTGTTTCTTTGTTCTTTCCTTCATTTTCTACTAGCATATGGACACACACAAAGTGTGTGAGAAAAATTTCTATTTTTGTTTTTGAAATATAAGTAGAGAGGAAGAGAGTGATAGAGAATGTGAGAGTGGGAAGTTTTTTTTTTTTTTTTTTTTTTTTTTAATTAATTTTTAATTATAGATATATTAGAATTACATATAGCTAAGGTTTTGAAAAAAAAACAGCAAAATTTGATTATGTGAAATTACATTTCTGCTCCATATTTCTTATTCATGTTTCGTTTTAATTAGAAGGTTAAACTGGTAATTTCATAGAATTTTGGTTGACAATGAGTGTTTTATTAATTAGTAGAGATTATAGTATTTTTTTCCCCGTTTTATACAGATTCTACATTTGACACTGGAATCAATTTCATTATAAAGTTAGAGATAATCGGAATCATTCACGCTGTTTATCAACCTTTAAAGTATTTAGAAAAAGTTAATAGTTTTTGGAAATCATTTAAGTTTAATTACTAGCAAATGATACCTGCGCGAGGCTGCGGGATTAAAAACCATATAATTTTTTTTTGTACAAAGAACTATTTTCATACAAAAAATAATAATTGATGTGTATTTACAAACCATTTACATGCAAAAGATTTAGTAGAGAGTTCAAATAATCAGCTTAATACAAACTATAAGGAAGCCGCCTTGCAATATGACACACCCCGACCCAGGAAGTCCACTTGGACCCTGAATCGAGCTGTGCTGGCCGACACCTGGAAGGTGACGAAGCCATAAAATGTGATAGTGTATAAAAAGTGAATGAATTTGATTCCAAAAGTGTATAAATACCAGAGTGCGCTACGAGTGGGAGCGAACCCATTTTCACGCGCGATGTCAGAGCATAAGTAAAGTACAGTAATGTGAGTAAGAATCATACCCTCAAAAAATATCCATCAATACTAAGATTCGCCACAGATTCTTGTCGATATAAACTCAGCAGCTAAAACCTGGAGGGCACCAAACAGAAGGTGTGAGTAAGCAATAAAACCAAGCTTCCCAAGTTACTACCTCTCTGAAAGTAATGCCCCTAAATGTAAAACCCGTATCGTTTTCCATAAAATAGTACAACATATATATATATATATCCAAACCATACTAGGAAATGACCAAAACCACGGTTTGCCGTCAAATCCACCATACATTAATAAGTAGGCCAAATGAACTAAATCAAATACAAAGGGATATATCAGTCAGAGTCAGCTAAAATAACATGTACAACTTATCTGTATCTCATCAATCATGACTAGCATATAAGTCGGAATCACCTATAGTGACCTGTACGACTTATCCATATCTCATCAATCCTGGCTAGCATATAAGTCGGAGTCACCTATAGTGACCTATACGACTTATCCATATCTCGTCAATCCTGGCTAGCATATAAGTCGGAGTCACCTATAGTGACCTATACGACTTATCCATATCTCATCAATCCTGGCTAGCATATAAGTCGGAGTCACCTATAGTGACCTATACGACTTATCCATATCTCGTCAATCCTGGCTAGCATATAAGTCGGAGTCACCTATAGTGACCTATACGACTTATCCATATCTCATCAATCCTGGCTAGCCAATAGCTCAATAAGTATACCTGCACACGAGTCGGAACCACCTAAAGTGGTCTGTACGACAGGACTGGGTGTAAATAAATACGCTCAAGTGCTACGATCACGTGAAGACTGGGCGAATAATCGCGGGTCACCTACGAGTCGGAACCACCTAAGGTGGTCTGTACGACAGGACTGTGCACCTACCTTGGATCCAAGGTGAGCATAAGGTGCGGGAGGTGAACATCACGTGAAGGACTGTGCCCTGGCCACGGGCGGGAGCACTAACACCGAGGTGCAGGTTTATGAGCTCTCAATGCATCTCAATATAACATGTGCAACTCATGACAACCAGTACGACCGTATCGAAGTTGCCTAACTCATAACTGTAGTCATGCTATAACGCAATCGATTCAACTAGTACCATAAACTCACCTGAACTTACCTGGGTGTCCTGAGTTCACATTTGCACTTGAAAGCATTCCCAATAATTATATGCAAATAATATACATTTAGACATATCATGATGCAATCTACTACAAAACCATGCCGTAGCATTTTCAATTATAAACAATATAGGGTGAAGTGTACAATCAATAACGCCCTACTCCCGAACTACTTATTTTCAAGGATAATTATTCATGACAACCCAATCAAATCTAATTTAACTAACTAACTCACAATAACTAAAACTTGTCTTTACCAATTTCCTTCGCATTACTCAATTTCCCAAGCAAGGCTTTTGTCTCAAATATTTTATGGCTGCATCTAACGTCTCGTTAGACTGCCTACGTACCCTAAATAGGGATCAAGCCATTCGTAGTTCATATAGGTACTTTAAGCATTCACAATAATTATATAAAGGTAATATACCTAATCAATTTAAAAGTGTCGATTGAACTCTCAATAATATGCATAATAAAAAGGAAAAGATCCACTCACCTGGAGTTCACGCTATGATTCTCTAGCGCACGCATCGAGGCGTCCTGAATGATTGGTCCCTGTGACCAATCATCAAACCACATCTCAGAACTCTTATCTGTAGAATATGTAATTCACATAAAACACAACCTCAACGACATTCTAAAATAGCTTGAGACCCATTGACCACAAGTCAACCGTCGATCAAAGATCAACGGTAGGGTTTACAACCCTGTATAACCTAACCCGGAAGATCCGCACATCAGATTTCCAATCCGCAACTTCCAACGATCCACAATATGTTTCTAGAATAACATATTAAAATTTCATTACGATCCAACGGTCAGATCTCCGCCAATTGCCTAAAACAAGTGGCCGTGAACATTTATTTTACTAACTTACAAATCCAATTCAGGAAGATCCGTAAGTCGGATTCCCGATCCGTAAATTCCTATGATCTTTAAATATTACGTATTATAATGTATCCAATTTTGGTGACGATCCAACGGTCGGATCATTGATTCACATTTTATCAAGTAACGTATTGTAACGAATTTAGGTTCCAACGATCAACCTACGTCATTCAAATGACAAAACTGAATTCAAGACATTTGACATAGCCTAAAAATAGCATTGGCGGCCCACTGGCCACGCGCCGCCGCACGCGCCGCCGCGGGTGGCGGTCGGCCGCCCCGACTCGCCGGAAAATCCAACTAATTCCAAAAATTATCAAACTTCACAGAAATGAAGATCTCAGTGAGTGGAGCAACTTTCATACCTGCCACGAAGTCCAAAAGTGGACGGAAGATGGTCAATTTTGCCCACGAAGCCGGCGGTGCCTAAAACTTCCCGACGTCGATTCGTCGTCTACGGTGGTCCAACGGGGTCAAGGTTGGTTGGGTTTTGCTCCTGGGATGATGGGCTACAAAGCCCAAGTGGTGGCATCGGCCATCGCTTTGCCGATTTTCCGGAAAATGGAAAAGGGTGGCCGGAGCACCCTTGATTTTCGTCAACTTTCGTGGCCTCAAACCTCTACATCCCGTGGTCAATCAAGGTGGTTCTTGGGTGGGTTTTGTAGAGGGGAATGAGAGCTTCAAAATGGTGGTGGTGGCATCGAAAAACTCCACCGGAGTTGGCCGGAATCGGCCTTGGAATATGGTCTCGCGGTGGTGCGGGTATGGGTGCACGGGAAGCCTTTTTCCCTTCTTTTTTTTTTTTTTTTTTTTTTTTTTCTTTTCTTCTTTCTTTCTGATTGGGCTTCCATTAATTTAAATAAACACTCACCTTGAATAACCAATTTCGAACGTCCGTAACTATACCGTTATAATCCGGACTCGCAAACGGCTTTCGCCTATATGTTCGTACCAATGAGTACTACGAGGATATGCTAAAAGAATAAGTCCCACATCTTTCAAGTCGATGGTCAACGGAAGTCAAAGTCCTTGCCTGTAGGGCAATTTCGTAAATTCACGCTTTTAAAATAAAATAAAAACGTAAAATTTGGAACGGGTTGTCACACAATATATGATTTGGGTAAATCTAAACAATTGAACTCATACAAAAAAAATAGTAAAAACCTTTTCAATGAAAAATATAAGCAAAACAAGAAAAGGGTTTCACTAAGAACCACTTGATTTGCTGCACACCAAATTCAATCCCAATTTCCTTCACCAATTGTCTCCTCTAATCCCACCTAACTATTATCAACATAAGTTCGTATCCTATATGCCTTGAAATGCTAAACTTACGATTCACATACCTGCAAATTGCAATTCAAAAATCGAAATACAAACATGAATCAGAAAACTACCAAACATAAATCCAAATCTTAGGAAGTTTAAATATTATAAATAAATTATTAAAGAAAAATCCATGATCCATAGACAGCCACCAACAAACATTTGTTCCTTTAAAATAAGGAAAACTAATGAAAAGAACTTGAAAAATTTGAATTTGAACGATAAAGACAAAATAAAGGGTAAAATGAATAGTACCAAGATTTACTTTTTAGTGGAAAAATGTGGTTTTTCATTAAAGTGAACAGTACCGGGAACTTTTCGTTAAAGTTTCCTTAAAAATACCCAAATTAATTTCAAACAAAATTTGGTGGGGGTCACTTCAAACGAAATATCTACAACCAACATTAATTCCACATCTTCTTTTACCTCCGTAGAAACCCTAACAACTGCCACAAATTGTGATGAAAAAGTTAAAGCATATAGCCAATAGTTTATTGCAGCAAGGCCATATGATTCAGACATAGAGAGGAAGAGAACCAACCTGAATAGGCATAAGCAGTTGCATGGAAAATATACAATATGCATAGAATATTTACAGCTCTTTCTTTTGACTGCTTAATGCTTACTACCATATGCAGGACCTGAATAGGCATAAGCAGACGCATCCGATCCCTCTACAAGTAGTCGGAAAGATTGTGAACAAGAAACTCGACAAATTTTCTAGCTCTAAGTGGCAAATTCATGGTTAGTTCACTAATTCCCAGTTCAGAAAAGGAGCTTTGCACACTGGAGTTGCTGAAATCAAAAACCAAGAACACAAACAGTGACATAAAGGCGTGAACAAAATCTATGAACTTTATTCCAAGGTTCTAAAAAACGATAGGCGCCAGTCAGGCGGTCCGCTGACGTCTAGCACCTAGGCGGCTAAGAGGGATCTAGGAGGGCGCCTATGAGGATTTAGGTAAATTTCTTGTATATCTTGTAAATAAGTGCATATTGATACTTACAAAAAATTATTCTTGTAATCTTGGAATAAATATGTTATATACCATATGAACTAGTTAAATTTATAGTAGATGATTAAATATTGAGGAAGATGTTATTTAAAAAAAATATACATATTTAACATAAGAGTATAATATAAGCTGATTTTATTCTGATCATAAAAAGAAAAAGAATAAAATAAATAATGCAAGAGTGTAATATAGACTTTAAAGAGATAAAGGTGTCAAATATGTGGGTGTAGAATGCAAAGTGAGACATTGGACGCATAGAGATGGGGAGCTACACCAATACTTAATAGCAAAAGTACACCGAAGGACTCACATCCCATGTTTTTTTATGAGAATAATCAATAGCTAGATACTGACAGCTCATTTTTTTTCCTTGAAAAATTATCTTGATGCTAGCTGTACAAATGTGATTGGACAAAATTAATAAGAACAGTTTGAGAGTGGTCACATGAATGAAAGGAAGAGAGAGAAACTTATTTTCTCATCTTCTTCCTTTTTCATCTTCGCAAGAACATAGAACCAACAACCCAGAAAGTTTAGAACGCACTGCATTCATCCTCTCAAGTTCGAAAATAGAAAAAAATTGAGATTCCAGACCGCCTAGGCCAACCAGTCGGCCGTCTAGGTTGCCCAAGGGGCGCCTAGGCCGCCTTGACGCCTACCTAATCCCTTTGCCGATTTTCCTTCCGATTAAGAGTTAATCCCGATGGCTAGCCATCGCCTAGCGCTTAGACTGATTTTTAGAACACTGTTTTATTCTATGCTTCTTCAAGTCCCTATCCATGTCCTCGGCGTTACTGCAGTTGAAAATGTACATGCCTTTGAATGTAGCAATTCCATAGTAGAATTTTCGATAGTTATCCATGAAGTTATCGGTAAACGAAAATAAGAAACAAAGGAGAGCACAAAATTTAGTGACACATGATGTGAGGTACTGTTGACCCTAAAAACTACCAAGCCTAAATGGCACGCAGGCCGAGTAATCAATAAACTAACTATGTCATTTGGTTGTGTGCGGGGTGTGCCAACTCGTCAGCCAAGCTTGGTCAGGGAGTAAAATGTGTTGATTCGTGTTGGGTACACTGCTGACTTCTTGATCTTGCGAATGCGGCCGAGGAAGGAACACGTCTTGGCCTTCGTGTTATAGAGTCTGAAGACAAGGCTGTAAGTTTTGCAAAGTTCAATATCAAATTCGGCTTTCAATATGCCGAATATAGTAACCTGTAACACCTCACTTCGCCGAGAAGGCTAATGAGATGACCTCTGCCAATAAGGATTCGAAAATCCTTCTCGACTGAGACTTGGATAAATAACCAGTCGGCCTCGACGCAATGCTATGTGGTCGGCTGATTCTACGACAACAGTGCTGTTTATCCAAACTGAAGATGTGTCGGCGAGAAAAGAAAATAAAAATCTCAAGGTTGTTGAGAGGTTTTGCGTAAAACGAGAGTTTGCGCATGGCATTTTTGTGTGTTGAATTGGAGGGGGCTTTATTTGTTGCCATGCACCTTGTATTTATAGCATTCATATCTCCCGCTTAGCACGGCTAAATAATTTAATAGAGTCCAACTGCAACTCTAACTTGTGAAACTGAAATTGATCCATGTCAGATTGCCAAGACATATCCTTCAGATTGCTATATGACTTTGCAAACAAAATAAAAGCCTATCTAGGCTTATCACATCACATCAGAAGCCTAGCCTACCTAGGCTATTCCATCACCTTTAAACTCATCCATGCATGCATCCTGATCTCCATCTAAATGAATTCCAAATTCATTTGTTTACTAATTATCAACGTACTTTAAATGGATAATAATCAGTTTGCAGCATACCACTTGAATCCGTCAGTCAACTAAACTGATCTCATCCACACATTCACACGCCAAACATCCAAATTAACTTGAATTGTGCCGCCGTGTTTCCAGCATGGAGATATATATCTCATCTTTCAAAATAAATCATTAAAAGATAATTATCATAATATTATCCTTCAACAAAATTATCTTCACTTTTCTATCTAACGATGGTGTAAAATCGGGTCCAAACAGGTACATATTGGAAATTGGCAAGAACCATTGTTGGAGAAAGTAGGAATAAGGGTGTGAAATGGAAGGACTGTGCCAGTTGGTCAAAGGTTAGCGAGATTGGCCGCACTGGCTAGGGTTTGGTGGACGGGCTGGTTCGAGCTGTGCTTGAGAATCGTGGGAGGGGAAGGCGGTGAGTGTGGTTGCTCGGAGGATGGTACCTCAGCCATGGAGAGAAAGAAGAAGGGAGTTCAGTTTATATTAGTTGGAGATGGTAAAAGGCAATGCTTTATAGGAAATGAGGACATTGGAGTTTTGGGTGTAAATCACGTGGACTCTGTTTTGAGAGAGGGATAGCGTCAGGGACTCCAAAAATGGCCTAATTTCTATGCCATAAGAAACATAATGACATGTGATTTATGCAGCCATTTGGTAGCTAGGTACCTAATATGACCAGAAAATTAACTCATATGCTAGATGTTTGAAAGAATGCATTTTCCACATCGGAAGCTTGGTAGAATAAATTACAACATATATTGAATAATTTCACTTCTAATAATTGAATACTTGGCGGGTTGTTATCAGTGTGATTAGTAGTGGCCGCTAGCTCGACTCTAAAATCTTGAAACTAGCTAGTTACTTATCTTTCAAGAGTTGCGCACCTTCAACCTTCATCAGTAATGATTTTATAGGTCATTTCTGTCTAAATTGAAGTAACCAAAAAACTTTTCCATTCTGGTTCCATACAGATTAATAAACAACTTCAAACAGAAATCCGATTTGGCCTCCTCCTCAATCCAACTCTTTCTCAAGTCAATTACTCCAATCTTGATTACGGATTAGTAAACATGCTATTAACGTATTATATATTGCTAATCTTTAGGAATTAGAACAACGTACAACATTGAATATTTGGGAGATGCTTCTCCTTCGTGTGTTACAGGCAGCATTTGGTCTATAACCGTGGATCAATGAAAAAAATACACAATTTTTCGAAGGTGCTAATCACCAACTGGTTTAATACAAAGAAAATGAAATTAGTCTCATGGATCGGAGCTACGGTATAACCTTGAATTGCAAAGCTGTGCTGACATTCAGAACATGCTTCCTTCTGCCATGCTGCAATGCGCAATCAATCATGGATAAAACCACATCTGGAAATGGATTGACAATGTCATAATTTTTCTGAAAATCGGTTCAACGATGTTTGTATTTCTTCCAGCGTTCGCCCTTTTGTCTCCGGTACCAGCTTGGCAACAAACAGAACGGTTACAGCAGATACGCTTGAAAACAAGAAAAAAGTTCCTGAAACAGAAAAATATATCCAATGTGTAAGAGGGAGTCAGCTCAAATCCAGACAGAAATAGGAAGCAAAAATTTTATGGCATTACCTGCGGAGCTCCAATCCATTAGGAAATTAAAAGCGTATGAGACTATCCAAGAACCTAACCAGTTAACCAATGTTATTAGGCTGCCGGCTGACCCCTTCATGTTTATGGGAAATATCTGAAATCCAAATTAGGCTAAATTAGTTAGAAATGCGGTATATCAAAATGTATGTGACTGAACTGAATTTCGAACTTTCTATCAATACTGTTGAGGTCATGCTTGTTGAGTATAGCCTACCTCGGACATTATAACCCAAGGAATGCCTCCCATGCCCAACGAGAACGATCCACTAAATGCCTGATCGTAGGTTTCAAATAGGTTCACCCATACTGTGAGTCTGTTGCCTATTGGCATATATCAGAAAGAAAAACAAGTTCTGAGATTCAAGTTAAGTTGGATTTACCAAAACGCCGACAAGTGCCAAAATGGGAGTAATCTGCTTCCACTGTTGAAGGTTCTACACAGGGTACACTTCATTCTTTCAAGGTAATTTACGAAGGACAATATGAAACTGAAAGAGGATTAGATTTTGTTCAAGGGTAAACCTGCAACGAGAATGACAACCCGAGAAGGAGGCAAGCTAAGCATGTTCCTGCTGAAGATACCTGTAAGAAATACGAATTATGAGACTTCAGCATTGGATTTTCATTTGATCCCAAAATTACACCAGAATTCTCGATCTTTTCGGTTCATACCAGAAGAAGAGGACGCCGTCCAGCTTTGTCCATCAAAATTACACCCAATGTTGTCATTGGAACCTGCGGAAGACATTAGAATTACGAGTCTGAAGAAAACATCAGGAAACCAAAATTGGAATTGAGCTAAGATAATGAAGCACCTGAACTGCAACCATAGCTATAGTCCCAACACTATCTGAAAATCCTGTCATAAGCCATAGATTTACTTCGTTTATCATCTGTTTTCTTTTGGAAATTATTAGATACATGAAAGAAGCTCGCAAAGAAGGCTTTTTGACATACCAGCTGAAATGAATATAGTACTTGCATAGAAGGCAATGCCATTGACCCCTCCAAATTGTTGTAGTACCATAAGCCCAACTCCTACCTAAGGAATTTACAAATTATGAAAGATAACAAAAAAAAAGGAGGCATGTCATAGCAGGGATTAGCTTAGAAGCTCACAACGAGGGAATAAGCGTATCTCCTTTGAAATAAGTCAAGAATTCTCGCTTCTGAAAACCGTTTCAGAGTTTCTGTATAATCCTATCAGAGAAACAAACATATATCAGTCCTTTTTCCATGCTACTATCTTGACAGTAAATAATTACAGCAATACTCGAAATATATGTTGTTTCTAGTTAAATCGAAACAAAAGAGATGTAATTCAAAACTTACTCTAATCTCAGCTAGTTCTTGAGAAGTACTGGAATTCTCCCCCCTAAGGCGCTGAAGAGCGGCTTCACACTCTTTCCATTTACCAATCTTTGCCTGAAAATGGTCTCACAAGCAGAACATGTCAAAGGATCCTCAACTTTTCCATATCGTCTCCAAAGAAAATGATGCATGTGTATAACATTTCTGATGACAAAATTACATAATTGACTCACCAGCCATCTAGGAGACTCTGGAATGAAGAAGAGACCTAAAATCTGTATAACACACGGAATAGTCCCTGACATTTAGACGAGAGAAACCTCCGTCATATAATTCAGATTATGTTTCTCCCAGATGTCATTTTCAATTCTACTGCAAGGTACAGTTTGTGGTAATCTTATATTACAACATAGAGGAAGAGAAAGCTACCGAGGAGAGCCAAAGCTCGCCAGTTCAAAAAAGCCCCGATAAGGTATGTCAGTGACAAGCCACAGCATATCATCAACTGTAAAATCAGTGGTGACTGGTGAGCAGGTAAACAAACAATCAGCTGGTTTCCAAATTTTTTAACTTTACCTGATGAACAGTTGTAAATCCTCCCCGCAGATTCTTCGGTGTTATTTCTGCTATGTATATAGGCACCTGTTTGTTATAAAAAAAATAAACAATTTTACGCAGAACTTCAACAAAAATCTTACATGAGTTCTGTATGCAATTGCAATCCTCACAAAAATTACCACATAAGAAAGAAGCCCCATTCCACATCCAACCACCAGTCTTCCAAGTTCCGCCCACCAAGCAACCTTTCGAGAAGAACATAACTTAAAAACCATGAGCTGAACAAAAAGTTCCAATCTTTCGAATATAAAGAACAAGTAAAGAGAGATGGCCGAAAGGATGCAAAACCTTAGAGAAAGCTATTGCTAGCCATCCCAAAATGCAGAATATCTCGGCAAATGCCATTGCCTGCTTCATCAAAACAAACCCGAATCAAGCAAAATTGAAGAGATTAGAACTTGGGTCGGAGTTAAAATGTTACAATATTACTTGAAATGAGAAAAGTTGAATGGAAGGAAGAAACTTACACCTCTTCTGCCTATATAATCTGCTATTCTTCCACTCACTACTGCTCCTATCATTGCTCCGATTGTCAATATTGAACCAAAAACCGAGTACTGCAAAATGGACAGCAACCGTAAGACACATACAATCACACACACACACACATGCTCCATCCATATTAATGGAAAAATTATGCAAACCTGAGCTACGGTGAGGCCCAGATCATTCATGACCCCAGACCGAGCTGGTGAGGAATATCCCACCTGCAAATCGATTAGGAAACCAATCAAACGGCTAGTACCATTCCATAGAGACACCAAGATATTTATCTTGCAACACAACAATTGATTACCAAAATATTTAGAAAAAAAAAACGCGTACACAACAAAAAATATTTTTTCCTCAAACCCAAAAGTTTCTAATCAAGTTTAAACATTTAAGAACATGAAATTTATCTACGCCAGACACGTCACTGTGACAGTATTCCAATATAATCACTATTATGCATTCTAACTTTTTCACGTGCCTAATTGACTTGAGATATTGTTGCACTAACATCTCTGCCTAGTTGATGGTATTCCAATAATCATGTGCTATCATGTGTCAAAATACTCATACTATACTTACCGCAGACCCAAAAACATAGGAACCAGAGACAGCAACCAGAGTGCTGACCATAACCATAATCGTGGCTGATGAGCTACTTTCACCTCCTTCTTCATAACCAGCACCACCGTTGCTATTGCTGCCACTGCAACTACCACCGCTGCCGCTACCGCCACTGCCACCGATGCCGCCACTATGGAGCTTCGATGTACTATTTTTGACGAGCAAAGGATTTGAGAGTTCTGCTTCTTCTATGTTTTCTCTGCTCATTTTTTAGTACTCCTTCAAAGACAAAGGAATCATATGAAAACTCAGAACAATTGGGTTAAAGTCTATCTAAAACAAACAAGGGAAAGAGTGAGAGACATGTGGAAGTGTTTGTCGTATTGTTAAAGCTGCTTTCCATGTAACGGTGTCAAAGTTGTCGTTTTCTAGTTTATCAACACTTATTGATCAAACATCGTCAGCGAGACACTGACCAAGTTGGAGGCCATCCATCCTCTCTGTGTAATAATTCGTGGGAATTGTTTGGGTGTCATGGCTTACTTATTTTGAGTCCGGTTCTCCTAGATCTCAGGGTCTGAGGAAATTTTGGTCATTTACTGTTTGATACAATTCAATGACAGAGAAAAAATACAAGAAAAATTAAAGAACCACTTACTATCAGTTATCCCTTTTTTTTTTTTTTTTTTTTTTTAAAAGACCACTTACCGTTAAATTATTGATGATGATGACCACTATTCCTTTGTATAAATGTCTAGGAAAACAAGTGAAAAGGTCATTCTCTTTTAACTTTTCTAAATAATTAAAAAAAAGAAAATATAATAGTAATATTATCACATATTATCACATGATGTTATTAAAGCATTTCTTAAAATATAGGTAAACATAGAGTTGATACCTCATAGATGTAACATATAATATTATTAAATAGATTCACATACTACAACATGAATAAATTGGTAATACTACGTGACGGTGTAAAATTTACACTAGACCTTCTCCTTAAGATGGTTTTATAAGAATATTCTCTTCTGACTGAAAAAGGACAATTGGCTTCAAATGATCATAAACAAATCTCATTTACTGAACTAATCAAAAGATTAATGAAATGTGCAATAGGGTTCAAAAGACAGCCTCTATTCTCTGCTAGCATGGCTTCTTAGTTCATCTGATTTCACAATGTACAATAGATGCTTGTAGTTCTTCAAGCGTTCTCCCCTTAGTCTCCCTCACAAGTTTTGCAATGGACACAACAGTTAAACTGCAAATGGCCGAGAAGATGAAAAACGTTCCTGGGAATTGTGGGATCGATCGTGAGCATGCATGAGAAGAAATGAAGAAAAGAGATGTAAAGAAAAGTCGGTGAGTTGGTTGCTGAGATACCTGCTGAGCTCCGATCCATTCCATCATAAAGTTGACCCGTTGTATGATAATTGATACATAAAACCCTGACTGCAGTTAATATTGATTTTTTTTTAATTCATTTGATTCGACGGTTGAAAAATTGAGAGGGATGTGTTAGAAGTAAAAGTGAACGTGTATATAGCACTAGCCTAAACAATAAATGAAGTGCGAAAGTTGTACTTATATTCATACAAACAGAGAATAGAATGTCAGTTGGAAAGCTAGCAGCTGGGGCTTCAATCAAACAAACAAAAGTTAGCGATTATGTGATAAATTGGTAGAGAAACGTAGTTGACAAAATTTGGAGAAGAGTTATCAAAGAGGTGAAATACTGTGCAGTTGTACAGTCGAATTGTTGTCACAATGGACATAGTCACAAATTTAGTGAGGATTGCTTTTCGTTCAACGTAGCTGTACAGTTGGTTAAGTTGGCACAAGTACATCGTATTCACGTGCTGGCACTAAATTTAAATGACACATGCGAGATAGTATGAAGGTGGTTAAGCTTACACAATTACCCGCAAAGGCACCCAGGGACAGAGTAGGATTCTATCTCCTCTTATTCATTTCTCATTTCTTTTCATTTTTTTCTCTCACACTTTTTATTTTGTTATTTTCTCTTTATAAAAAAAATATATAAGATGTTGACATGAGTTAATAATGATGGTTCAAATAGGATGGGAGGGAAGGAGAGGAAAAAAAAAAGGGAAAAGAATCATACTCCACAAGAAACTATGGTGGTCCTGAGCCTATCCTGACCTTAAAAAAGTATAACTATATATTTGTGTGTATCTTGCTCTAAGTCCCTCCTATTGTTCAACACTTCAAATAAATTCAATATCCTTTGTTATGATCTTTTAACTATCACAAATCAAACCTTTAAAATTAAACCCATTATTCACTTTTATTTTTAAAACTAAAAAATCTTGCAGCACACTCTAATCAATCTCTTTCACTGTACAATTTACACTATGTTTGGGTGAAGAAATTTAAGATTACTAAGGAATTTAAAAATGACGGAAATTGAAATGACGAGATTTTATTTTCTAGAATTTGTAAATTTTCTTGTTTAGTTAACCTAAAAGAACAATGGAATTGAATACAGAATTTGTTATTTTTAAACTCTCAATCATAGAAATTGAGAAATGGCACCTATTTACATGGAATTTGAACTTGGGATTTGGAGGTTCCAGATTCCAAGTTTTTTTTCCATGCGGGAATTCTAAATTTCTATGCTTATGAATCCAAACAAGAGAATTGGTGCCTGTTAATTTATAAATTCTGACTTTTACCACAGCTATTCCCTATCTCATTCTCGCACCTTTATATTTTTTTGTCATTCCAAATTCCAAACCCAATTCAACTTATCAAACAAACAAATACAATTCCATTTAGTGAGTAACAATAAAATTTGTAAATTTCTATTGTTGTATATCATTTTTATTCATTTCTATTATATTCTACCTCTTATTTGAGCGCTAGGGTTTATAATTTTTTTTATTAATTCTCCCTATTGAGTCTAATAATTCTTTCAATAGTATAGATGACTAGGTTATCATGGTATGGTTTCAAAGGAAGCTTTTTAGGGAAGGGGTCCCTATTTTTATATATTAAAAAAAAAGAATTAGTTGTTAGGCCCATATCGTATCGAACTTTAGCAATCCGAACGTCTATTTTTTTAGTTGCACCTCATAATCTTACAAAATATTAGTCAAATCAGAAATATTTGTGGCATTTAATTGAGATCAAAGAAATTTGCGAACACTTTGTTCTCTAAGAATCATTGAAATTTCATTTTGATAATTAAATAGGCAAACAGTTTTGGATTGAAATGCATTTTCTGCAAGGATGATCTTTGTATCGAGACTTACAAAATAAACCGTTCGGATCGTTGAAGTTCGATATAGAGTGACTCCCATAACTAATCCCTATTTTATTTTTATTTTTTTTACAAAAAATAGGAATCCCTTCCCTTAAGGGGAATGTTGTTTCAAAATATGAAAACTTATCAGAGAATAAATATGATTATTTTGGATGCATATTATGATATTTTGGTTAGTAATTTTATGAATACTACCCTTTTTTTCTTTTACTTTGTGAGAGGTTCTCCTCACAAAAAATCTTGGCTCTAATACAATATTGGTGTAACTAGCGTTGGTTCGATGACTCGTTTATTATTAGTCTCTCATATTACATCAAAAGCATAATCTAGAACTGTTACTGGAGAATTAAAGAGAAAAACTCAGAAAATTATGAAAGGAAAAATGCATCTTCTTTGATGTATTTTTGTAGTGTTGTACGCTAGGATCAAGAATGCCCTCAGACTGAGGAGTGATGAGGGGTCGGAAAGGTTCGACCTTTGAGTCGGTGAAGCTTCTGGCCATCGCGCGAGGAAGAAGACGACGGCACTGAGCCGTTCATAGAGTAGCCGAAGAAGCAGAAGACATGAACAGATAAGATAGTCAGAAATGAGAGAGGATCCTGGCCGGTTCCTCCAATTATATCCGTTCATCGTAATTTTCATTATATATTGTTTATATTTAATTTAAATATAAAAATTTACAATAATTTTTAACTACACGACGTACGATAAACAAATGTGAATTAAAAATTCCTATAATTCTCACAAAAGAATTCAAGGATCCTCACTCGTAAAAAAATAAGGCACGTCTGCGGTGTGCCACGACCCCACCAACCAAAGGTTTAATTAACCAAATACTAAAAAGTTTGACAAAATAATTCTCATTTTATTATTACGAAATATTGTAATTTTTTAATTTTTATAAGATTCTTTTCATTTCAATATATATTTTTTAAATAAATAATATTATCTACATTAGGAAGGAGGATGGGCTGAGCCTCATAATAGAGTATCAATAATGTGGTTCAAATTCGGATTTGGCGAGAATCAAACTTAATACATCTCTCTTACAATTTAAGAGGAATACTATTAACCGTAGTACTAAGTGACTAATTTCAATCTCATACTTAAGGTTACATTTTCTCACAAATTCCTACTTCTGTTAAGTTGACCATTAATAAATTCTGTTAAAGCATGATGTGGACAATTATGTATCAGTTAATTATGATATTTTAAAAGATAAATTTTAAAATAAATAAAAAAAATTGAGTCCCACCCCTTCGAGAACCATGAGTGAGGCTTCCACGACTTATAATTTGTTACAGTAGAGATTTATTTCTATAATTACAAAATCATTTAAAATATATATACCCAAGACTTAATCAACTTATGGCATTCCGCGGCCGGGAGAGTTGTGGATAGAGCAGGACTTTGCTTCCGCTCTATCCGCTGCAGAGTTCGATGGGAATTCGAACTGGGCAGTTGTGGATAAGAGTGGGAATCACAAATTACAAACCTATATATGACACGAGAAAGCCAGGCTTTGGGCTCTAAATACAGCCTCTGCTGTACTATCATGGCTTCATAGTTCATCTTATTAGACAAAATGTGCAATTGATGCTTGTAGTTCTTCGAGCGTTCGCCCCTTGGTCTCCGTCACTAGCTTCGCAACGAACACAACAGTTGAACCGCCAATGGCCGCGTAGATGAAAAATGTTCCTGAAATCATATGACCGATTACGAGAACGCAGGGAAAGAAATGAAAAAAAGAGATACAAAGAAAAGTAGGGGAGTTGGTTGCTGAGATACCTGCTGAGCTCCATTCCATCATAAAGTTGAAGGTGTATATAACAATCGAACGAGCGCCCGTATTCACCAGAGTCATTGGAGATGCGCATCAAACGAAACTATCTACTCACTTGTGGAGTGATAGTTTTCAGACTCATCTACCCCAATAATTGCCAATGATATAGTCCCAATGCTACTTGAGAAATTTGCCAGTAAATGGATGCGAAATCATATTTTCTGCTATACAGCATTTGAATATATGAAACAAAATAAAAGATTCCGATCCAGCATCAAATGCTGTGTAGCAGAAAATATGATTTCCATAAAATGTTACTGCACTGGACCCCCCCAAATTGCTGCAGTACCATCAATCCAGCTCCAACCTAAACCAGTTAAAATATCCGTAGAAAGGTAAGACACCTCATGAAAAGAAAAGGTAATGCAGTAAATGACTTGTTCAATTGTATTTCCCTTGAGAAAGCTTACAATGAGTGAGTGAGCGTATCTTCGCTGAAACAAGTCCAGCATTCTTTCTGACTGCTGCTGAAAGATCATGGTATAATCCCGCCACGATATACTATTATGTCTTATTCTTTTTAAAAGCTAAAGAATATAATTTATCTCCAAAATAATTCCTCAAGTTGAGGATACCAAACAAATAACCTTTAAATGATAACATGAAGTTCGGATTTGGAAAGTTACCATGATATCAGCTGCTTCTTGAGATATATAAGAAATTTTCCTCTAAGACGTTGCAGAGCAGCGTAAAGGTCCTTTTATTTATCAATTTTAGCCTGCAAACTAGTGTACCATAATCGATTCCAGCTGTGTGCACTGTTGGCAGAATAAGGTCACAGAGACGAGTAACTCATTCTTAACTCACCAGCCACCTTGGAGTCTCTGGAATGAAAAATAAACCTATGACATGTGGTAGGGATGGATTAGCTCCTGAATCAACTATATCTTGTACCAACTAGAGCAATGGTACACCAGTTTAAGGCATTTCCAATGAAATACATAAGTGCGATGCCGAAGCTAACCACCAACTGTGCACTTGATGAAATTTAGACTACTGATTAGAGAAGTGGAAAGTAACTAGTAAGTGGGGAATCATCATGAATTATAGCTGAAGTAAACGTTGCCCTAGGATCCTTGAGTGTTACTTCCGCTATGTAGACAGTACCTGTTAATGGGAGAGAACTTGATCATTTTATATATCTTTTATATGGATATGTTAGAAACTGATTTAAATTTGAAGAAGAACGAGACGGAGTTTGATTAACCACGTACATACTTAACCCAACGCCAAATCCCGAAAACAGTCGTCCAAAATCCAGCCACCAAGCATTCTACCATCATCAAGCATTAAACTCAACTACTGATTGAAACACAATAAGGGAAGAAAACAAAAGGCAGGCAGGAAAAAAGAGAGAAATAGAAAACAATAGGTTGCATTCATCATATGTATATGGAGACAGGAAAGAGAAGAAACCTTTGCAAATGCTATACTCAGCCACCCTGCAGCACTGAATGTTTCGGACAGCCACATTGTCTGTTTCAAGATATCAACATGAAAAGAACGAAAAAAAAATATAGATAATATAAGTTTGAGCATCTGCACTAGGCCTAGGGACGACGGAAAATGCGAAAACTTACACCTCTAAGACTAATGAGATCCGTTGTTCTTCCATTTACCAATCCACCAATCACTCTGCCGATTGTTAATGTTGAACCAAAAACTGAGCACTGCAGAAGGAGAAGAAAGTTTACCAAATGCAGAGGAATGAAAACCGAAGAGACTATAATCTACTTGATATATATACAAAGGTGGCGAACATCTAATTGCAATTTGCAATCAAGGTCGGTTCACTCTTATCATCTACAAATGGAGTTGTAGTATATCTCGAGGTCTTAAAATTGTATCTATTTACGTTTTTCATGTGACTATTTGATCTTCTGTTAAATTGATGATATTGAATTTGTTTATAGGTTCTGCGAATAAACCATTTTTGCAACAAATTGACTAACTCTGCTTGTTGTTCAAGAATATAAAACAACAATTAAAAAAAAAAAAAAACGAAACTTCATGATATCACTTTTAGTGTGTGTGATGCGAGTGTCGCTTCCGATTACATAATTAGGTCCTATAATGCCTCAACATAACTTTAACACATCAAAAGATTATACAAACGTAGAAGAAAATTGCTATGATTTAACAAATATTATGGTGTTTTGAGAGAAAATTGATACATCGTGACAAACACGTGACACTTTGTACTCCATGACCATGTACCCTTTCAGTATCACGTGACAAGTACGTGACATTTTGAAAACAAGAAGCGAAAAACGACCATCTCTCTAGATCTGCGCCCGTCTGTTCACACGCACGGCGAATCCAAGCCGATGAAACAGAAAGATTCAAACTTCACCGAACCCTGATCGAATCTCCGCCATGGATTTCGTGGAACTGGAGGCGATCGAGGGCCTCCGATGGTCCTGGAATTCATGGCCGCCGTCAAAATCCGAGTGCGCCGCCCTTGTCATCCCTCTCAGCGTCATGTGCACGCCGTTGATGCAGCAAGCCGAGCTCCCGATACTCCCCTACGACCCCGTCACTTGCCTCCGATGCCGCGCCATTTTGAACCCCTACGCCCGCGTCGATTACCCTTCTCGCATCTGGTTCTGCTCCTTCTGCCACCACAAGAACTCCTTCCCTCACTCTTACTCCAACATCGGCGAGACCAACCTCCCCGCCGAGCTTTTTCCGACTTACAGCGCCGTCGAGTACGCCAAAACCGCCCATGGAATTCCCAATTCTGGCTCGAATTCCCAGAATTGGGCAAGTGGGTTGTCGTCATCGTCGTCCCTGTCGTCTATGGGGTCGTCGTCGGCGGCGGCGTCGGTGTCGAATGGGGATTCGAGAGGGGTGAGGCCGGCGTTTGTGTTCGTTGTGGACGCTTGCACGCCTGGGGACGAGCTTGGGGCACTTAAAAATGAGCTCTTGCTTGTTGTGGAGAAGCTTCCGGAGACCGCTTTGGTGGGTCTGATCACGTTTGATTCGATGGTTCGCGTTCATGATCTCGGGTTTTCGGAGTGCTCGAGGGCCGTGATGCTTCACGGCGAACGGGAGCTGTCATCGCTTCAGGTAGCTGGTTTTCTTCTTTGCTTGCCATAATTTTTTGGTGTGTTGAAGTGAAAGATGTTGCATTTTGCGTGTTTTTTACTTGTTAGCACTTATTTTGGATATCAATGAGTTTCTTTTGGTAGTTTAGAAGACATTCAATTTGGAGTTCAAAATTTTGAAGCAGTCCATTTGAATTTGATAGTCTGAACTCTAAAGTTGTAGTTTAATCACTTCATCCATTTTGATATTTGTGGAAATCTCAGTGCTTTTCGGGTCTTCTAGAAACTAGAAATGCTCTCGTCCTTTAAGAATTAGTCTCCTAGTTTGCTCAGAGGTTGAAAGGAATCAAGTATACTAACTCAGATCCAGATTCTCGCCGATTGATCTGTTTACTCATGTGCTTCATATTCCCTAGAGAATGTTCTGTGCCTAATTTGAATTACTGAGTTTTCTCATTGAATGCATTTTAAGTTTTAACTCATCCTGTATGTAACTGGAATTTAATGCGTTACATTTATATTTTGAACTCTTAGACCCAACAATTTCTAGGCATTAAGCGACCAAAGCATCAGCAACTCGGAAAAATATCAGTTAATCAAAAGCAGGGCTTTTTGCTACCTGTTTCTGAATGTGAGTTCAACATCACAACTGCAATTGAAGAGATCCATTGTTCAGTTCAAGTCAAGCCCAGTCATCGTCCTCAAAGGTGTACCGGAGCAGCAATATCAGCTGCACTTGGACTTCTGGAAGGATGTTCAGGGAGCACGGGTTCCAGGATCATGGTATTCACATCTGGACCAGCAACTTTAGGCCCAGGAATAATCGTTGATTCCGATCTTAGCAAGTCCATCAGAAATCACCGAGACCTCATCAATGGTCATGCCCCTTACTATAGTAGATCTTGCAGCTTTTATAGGCAAGTGTCGCAGAGGTTAACTGATGCATCTATTGTTCTCGATTTGTTTGCTTGTTCTCTTGATCAAGCTGGAGTTGCAGAGCTGAAGGTCCCTGTTGAGAAGTCTGGTGGTTTCATGATGCTAGGTGAGTCATTTGCGTCAAATCAATTCAGAAAATGTTTAAGCCACATTTTTACTCGTGATAAAGGGGGATATTTGAAGATGTATTTTGATGCAACTATTGAGATAGTAACCACTAGAGATATTAAAATCTGTGGAGCCCTAGGTCCTTGTGTATCTCTTCGAGAAGTCAACAATTTAGTGAGTAGCAGTGAGATTGGGGAGGGTGGTACCTATATGTGGAAGTTGGGTACAATCACCAATAAAACATGCATTGCTTTTTTCTTCCAAGTGAGCGATGAGCAGAAAGTTCAACCTGGGTCGGCATTCCTGATACAGTTCATAATAAGATACCGTCATGGGAACATGGGGATCCGGAAAAGGGTAACAACTGCAGCGAGAAGATGGGTTGGGGGCAGTTCACCAGAAATTGCTGCTGGGTTTGATCAAGAAGCTGCAGCTTCAGTGATAGCCAGGCTTGCTATTCGCCGAGCTGAGACTTGTTTCGCTCGAGATGTTATCAGATGGCTGGATGACACATTGATCCGCTTTGCTTCCAAGTTTGGAGACTATGCGGAGGAAGATCCAACCTCTTTCCGCCTGTCATCCAACTTCTCCCTTTTCCCTCAGTTCATGTATTACTTAAGGAGGTCTCAATTTATTGATGTCTTCAACAGTAGTCCTGATGAGACTGCTTTCTTCCGGCTAATGCTGAATCGTGAGGGGGTGGTGGGTTCCCTTATCATGATCCAGCCCACGCTTTTCCAATACTCCTTTGATGGTCCACCTGTTCCAGTCCTCCTAGATGTTCGCTCCATCTCTCCAGATGTTATCTTGCTCTTTGACTCATACTTTCACGTGGTTATTCATTACGGGTCCAAAGTTGCTCAGTGGAGGAAGCTTGGGTATGACAAGGACCCAAACCATGAGAATTTGAGGAAGCTGTTGGAAGCCCCGGAAATTGATGCAGAGCAGTTGATGGCCGACCGAGTTCCTGCACCAAAGTTTATTAAATGTGACCAGCATGGCAGCCAAGCGAGGTTTCTTCTTGCAAAGTTGAATCCATCTGTTACCCAGAATTCAACGCACACTGACGGTTCAGATATTATTTTCACCGATGATCTGAGCTTGCAGGTATTTTTAGATCACTTGCAGGTCCTTGCAGTGCAAGGCTGATGAAGAGGAGCACTTTATATGGATTTTCGATTTTCTCGTCATACAAAGGTATTTTTGTGTATAGTTTTGAAGAGGAAAAGGTGTCTAGTTGTATTAACCCACTGTGCTTTTGATAACAAGTCATTTTATTTTCCAAGTATCTGTTATCATTACATGATCGACATTATCGACAAAATGGAAAATTGGTGCTCAAATGACGTGAAATTCTACAGATATTAAACAAAATGGGCGATTGATGCTTGTATTTCTTCTAGGGTTCTCCCCTTGGTCTCCGGCACTAGCTTTGCTGCGAACAAAACAGTTAAACCGGCAATGGCTGCGTAGAAGAAAAACGTTCCTGAAATCATTCGAACAGTTATTAGTATGCAGAAAGACCGAAAGGGCAGGGAAGAGAGGAGAGGAGTGGATTTTATACCCACCTGCCGAGCTCCACTCCATCATAAAATTGAAGGTGTAAGTTGTTATCCAAGAACAAGACCAGTACACCAAACTCAACAGGCTTCCGGCCGAACCTTTAATGTTTACCGGGAAAATCTGAAAAGAAACGCATCGAATCTTCGTTATAAAAGTCGATTTCTGGTCAAGTTTCGGATAATCAGTTGGTAGAGCTGTACCTCTGACATAATAACCCACGGTAATCCTGACATTCCGATCAAATATGTCGTACCATAACCCTGAACGCAACATCAATTGGTTCAAATATTCTCATTTCTCTAATAACTTACAAGGAGACGGAAGATGTGATCGGTTATATTGTACCAGCATGCCGATGAGAACGAGAACTGGAGTTCCTTTCTTCCACAGGTCGAGGTCCTGCCATGACGAAAAAATGTACTTCAAAGCACGATCGAACATTTATGAAGCAAACAGCAAATCAAACAAGAGAAGTATCAAAGTTTAGTTTGGGGAGAAACCTGAAAATAGAATGCCAAGCCCACAAGAAACGAACTCAGGCACATTCCGGCAGCAGAAACCTGCAAACATTACACAACTTCGTTACGGACTTACTGGTATTCAACATCGAAAAGTTAGATTCTTTGCCTTTCTCACCATTAGAAGTCGTCGTCGTCCAGATTTGTCAGTCAAGAAAACACACAACGCAACAGAAGGTATCCCGCTAATAGCCAATGCAATAGTCCCGACACTACTTGAGAAATCTGCCCGAAAATGGACATGAGAGCATATTTTTCGTTATATTGCCTTTCAACTGTATGAAGCAAAATAAAAATGTAGTTTGATTTACCGGCATCTACAAATATAGAGCTTCCATAAAAAGCCGTTGCATTAGCCCCGGAAAATTGTTGTAGAAACATCAGCCCGACACCAATCTGAGACGAATCAAATGTGTGTACAAATGTCGGACACATCAGAAAACGGGGAGGTGAAACAGTTGATGAATTCTGTAAATATATTTTCTTTGAGAAATTCATACGATGAGCGAGTCAGCGTATCTCTTATGGAACAAGTCTAGCATACTTTCTGAGTGCTGCTGAAACATTTCTGTATAATCCTGCCAAGATACAAGAGAACACGATCTCATTTCTTGATTGTATGCCGAAAGAAATATCTTTAACCTTAAAGTGTTGAAACTTGGAACATTACCATGATATCAGCTGCTTCTTGAGATACAGAAATCTTCGTTCCTCTAAGACGCTGCAGAGTGGCTTCAAGGTCTTCTTGTTTACCAATTTTGGCCTGCGGAGCTAAGTGTTTTAGTTACTTGAGCGCTTGATATAATTAAACTTTACTAGACACGCACTCACCAGCCACCTTGGAGACTCTGGGATGAAAAATAAACCTATAATTTGTAGTAGGGTTGGAATTGCACCTGATAATGTAAAATCTCATAGTATTAAGTGTTCCAGTAAATTTTTATGCCTAGATAAACTTAACATAAGGTTTAAGACAAGCGTATAAGTTACCGATTACTGCAATGGTGCGCCAGGGTAGGGCGTTTCCAATGAAATAGAATAGCGAAAAACCGCAGCTAATGAAAAACTGTGTACTTGATGAAATTTAGGCTAGTAATTAATGAAGAGGTAATTAGAGATTATCTCATATTCACAGTGATTTTGTTATCGACATCATACCTGATTAGCTGAAGTAAATGTTCCTCTGAGATTCTTAGGTGTTATTTCTGATATGTAGACAGGTACCTGTTCATGTATAAGTAAGAAATCATTTCAAAAGATTTCAGGAAAAAATATCTATACTTCGTAGGAAATTCGCACATACCACGTACATAATTATCCCGATGCCAAATCCCACTGACAGTCGTCCAGTATCCAGCCACCAAGCATTCTAACATCAAGTATTTAATTCAAGTACTGAAAGACTCAGAAAAAAAGGAGAAAACAAAACTTAAGCGACATTCTACTGTAAACTAATTTAAACTACGGGGAGGGGTCTGAAATTCGGGTGCAGCACATTTGCTTTGGCCAATGTGGCTACAATCACATCTGCTAAAATTTAGTATCTAATCATATATATGGAGATGGGAAAGAGAAGAAACCTTCGCAAATGCAATAGTGAGCCACCCTGCAGAGCTGAATATTGCAGAGACTCCCATTGTCTGTTTCATAAAATGAGCAGGGAAATTAAGAACAAGAAGAGTTTAGTTCATGAGATAATTTAAATATAAAGGGTAGTTAGTAGAAAAACTTACACCCCTACGACCGATCATATCCGCCATTTTTCCATTTAGTAATCCGCCAATCATTCCTCCTACTGTCAGTATTGAACCGAAAACTGAGTACTGCGTAATGAGAAGAAAGTTTGTCAAAATGCAGATAGAGAACTTCGCAAAGAATCTGAAACTTTTCTTCGGCATCCAAATTTTACGAAACCAAATCCATGTTTGTAAATTCCACAATGGGAAAACTTAACGGATGAACTTCATATTTAACACTGTTCTAAAAATCCCCGTCTAGTGCTGCTTAGGCCCTGCCTAGGTGCTAGGCGGTTGGTCACCGTCCCGATTAATGCCTAGGCATTTGAAAATTAAGAAATGACGCATAGACTTGCTCAGGTGCCCACCTAGACCACCTAGGCATCCATCTAGCCCGTCCAAACCCGTCTAAGTTGCGACTCACTTCGGCAAAAAAATGATAACTTTCATTTTGCATTTTATTTTTTTTAATAAATTGTAAGAGACTTATTGAATACTTAAATGAGCACATATTATATGTTTGTTCCCCATGTTTTCATTATGTTCCAATATTTCATAATATATGTGTCATTCTATTTTGTAATTTATGATGATGTTATATATATTTTAAGTATAAACATACACTTATTTACATGAAATATAATGAATTTAGTTAAATCCGTCTAGACCCCGTCTAACCGTCTAGACGCTAGGCCCTAACTCGCCGCGCCCGAATAGCAACTAGCGCTTGGTGTCTTTTAGAACCTTTATTTAATACCTGAATCCCACGTGAGGAGACTAAAGAATTGCATAATAGTTTAAATGATTTGGGGTCTCGCAAGTCTCAACCCACACCATTGTACTTACGGCAGCAAGAGTAAGGTCCAAGTCTTCAACGATCCCAGATTCAGCAGCTGATGAATATCCTGTCTGCAGCAGATCATTGTAATTAATGCTTATCAAGATTAAAACCGGAAGATGATTTTTTCACTTCCCTCTTATCCTCTTGTACTCCTCCCTTTTTTCAAGCACTTTGACTGAATTAATATATCAAAGGAGAATCAAGGCACGGAAACAAGAGGAGGAATGCAGAAGGAGAAAATGGGATTGTAAATCACAAAATTACTTACGGCACAGCCAGCAGAGAGAGATCCACAGAGGGCCACCAAAGTGCTTAGAACAACAACAATGGTGACTGATGGGGACCCACTGGGCATTGTTTGACTCCCATCAACTGCATCCCCATTTATGTTACTGAAGACGTCTCTTAGTAGTCCTTCTTCCATGGTTTCTCTATGATCCAAACAAATCTTATTTTCTTGTGAAGAAGGTGAAAAAATACACGCGGAAAAAGAGAACGGTTTGCAGAAGAATGAGAAATGCAGGTACTCATAAAAATGAGAAATGCAGGTATTCATAAAAACAACCGTAATTTTTTATTAATTCTTCACTATTCATTGGTTATAATTAACGAGTTTTTTATTCTGTAAAGATGTCTCTCAAATATTTTATTCCCAACCTTTCCTTTGGTTCAAACTTCACCTACAAGTTTATTATAAATATATTTCAGTTGGTGGAGTTTGATCGGTAGGACGATTGAAGCTAAATAGCGTTTCATCTGCCTGATTTGTGTTAGAGTTCTAATGAGAAACTGATATTTTGGTGTGTAATTAATAGGGAAGTGCGGAGCAAAACGTTGCTGCTACTGCAGTGATGATTTCATTCGTTGACTTCCATAGGATTCCTCCATTTCTGTAGTACAAGCTTAACTATGTCAAAGCCGTACTCACTAACAGCTGTTTTCTTCAATCTAAGGTTTACAACACATACTAGTTTTACCCTTACATGTATCTATAAGATAAAACTTCACCTAACTCTATTAACATTTGAATTGAAAAACTAGCCGTTGCTTTCTTTTGGCCTTCCTGCTGACTAAGGCAAGATCAACGGCAGATATTCATTTAGTTCCAACACCTGGTTTTCTACCCCTGAAGGCTTCAAATGGTGTCTTCTTGTGAAGAGCCCTTGTAGGGCTTCTGTTGATCAAATAGACAACAGTATTGACTGCTTCACCCCAGAAAATATATGGAATTTTCTTCTCATAGAGCATGGACTTGGCCATCTCGACTATGGTTCTATTTTTCCTTTCTTCCACTATATTCTGTTGTGGAGTTTAAGCAACTGTAAGTTTTCTTTCTAGGAAATATTCTCACATAAATTCTTGAGTTCAAGTGAGGTATATTCATCTCCCCTATCACTCCTTGGTTTCTTGACTTGAATCCACTCTGCAACACTACGTACCATGGACTTGGAACTTCTTGAAGATACTATAGACTTCAGACTTGTATCTCATAAGTCAACCCAGCACATCCTCGTGCAGTCATCAATAAAACAAGAGGAAATACCTGTTTTCACTCATAGTTTCAGTCTGCATTGGACCACACACATCTTTGTGTATGAGTTCAAGAGGTTCTGATGCTCTCCAAGACGTTCCACTCTTAAATGCTTCTCTGTGATGCTTGCCAATGTTACACCCTTAACATACTTTCTCTGAGTTCTTCAATTTTGGCAAGCCACTGACCATGCTTAATTTTTGCGGATCATTTAAACTTTAGTAGTTCAGGTGCCCATATCTTTAATGCCAAAGTTTGGTGTAGTCTGTAACTTCAGTTTTCACCCTATAGAATTGTGATACTACATCAGTAATGGAAAGCTTCGATTTTCGGTCATCCCGACCCTTGTGAACGAGTTCTGGAGACTTCTATCATCAAACACTTCAACCATTTTGTCCCCCAAACAACAGAAAATAATGATGATCATTTGACCAACACTTAGCTGGTTTTCATCAAGGCCAAGTACCAACATATCACCTCCTTAATGAACTTTTTGCCTCTTCTTGTTTTAATCACAATTGTTACCTTGCCAAGCTGTCTATTTCCCATTTTTATTCGGTCATTGAAGTTTCTATCAGTGTTGATAAGCATAGATTCGTGAACTGTCATATGGTTACTGCAACCACTATTTATGAACCATATATCATTTTTCTTTTCAACAGTAGTGACATTGCAAGCATATTAGACAAATAAGTTAGCCAACTGATTTCTTCTTGGATTGCAAGCATTTGCCAGGTGACCAAATCCATTACATTTGAAACACTTGGGTTTCCCCTTAAACCAACATATACATAGTGCAATTCATTATAAATTTTGCACTTGGTTTTGGTAGCATTTCCATTGTTTTGCTTTAATTGCTAAGTAGGCTTATTATCCCACTTTTTATCCTTTCCCTTCCAAGCTTTCTTGTATTTGGACTCACTACCTTGTCCACTAGAGTTTCCTTCCTTTGTATTAATACTCAAACCAGCAAAAGCCCCTTTCTGTCACACCATTCTCTGTATTAATACGTGGAGAAAAAAAAAAATGGTTTGCAGAAGAATGAGAAATGCAGGTATTCATAAAAACAGCTGTATTTTTATTTTTAATTCTTTATTATTCTTTGGTTATGATTGACGAATTTTTTATTCCTTAAAGATATCTCTCAAAGATTTTATTACTAAACCATGCCTTTGGTTCACACTTCACCTATCCGTTTCATGTGAATCATGTGTATGTACAGTGACGTTGACAGTTAGGTAGCTGAATTTGGTAGTCCTATTCTATACAAGTTTAATATATATCAAGTTCAGTACGTGGAGTTCGATTGGTATGACGATTGTAGATAAATAAATGCACTGGCGGAGCCAGAAAATCAAATTAGGAAAGGCCTTTAAATCATGGAAAGAAATTAGCCTTTGAAATATAACTAATGAAGAAAAATCAAGTGTTTTGTTTTTTCTATTTGCATGGAAAAAAATTCTAATCAAACAAGAATGGTGGAGCTTTACATTTTGTATGAAAAAAACTTAGTACTGAAATGATTCTATCATAAGAATAAAACTTGTTTATAAGCTTGGATGAAAAAAAAAAAAAAAATTAGATTCAAACAAAAAATTAAGATCATAACTTAAAATTAGATTTTGCCCTAGACTATATAGGCCTTTGATTCATATTGACTGGCCAAAATAAAGGGTAGATTTGTCTATATCAAAATATAAGGCTAATTATCACTACAAGAAAACATGGATTAAGTGACCGAATTTTTTGTGGCTTGTGAAAATTCATCACATAGAGGTAAAACAAGTGACACTTTTTTAAAAATCGTCACTTTAAGATTTTTGCAGGACACCAAAATATTTTGCGCTACTTATACTTCTGGATTCACCACAAAAAAGTGGGCGGGCAAGTTTACCGTCAAACGAAATTTTATTAAGTGACACAATGTTAAATTCATCACATAAGAAGAGGGAAGGCCACCTAGTCATTCCTCACATATAATATTGAATTAAAAATACAAAAATATAGATGCAATTATCAAAACCCCCAAATAACAAAACCTATCCATTTATTCTCATTTCTTCCCAATCTTCAGCACCCTTTCGTCTACTCCTTCACCCTAACTTCGACGACTAGGTACTTGGTGGTTGCCAGCTGCGACGGCAACTACCACCTCTCCTTCGTCTCCCTCGCTCAGCCATTCTCCCACCCTTTGATTCTCGTTCACTAACTCTCTTATCTCTCTGACATAACGAGATCAAATTGAGGAAAAAGAAGTTCGAATTTTTCTCAAGTTCTTTCAGTTCACAACAAGGTACTTGTTTCTCTATATTTCTTTAATTGTTTTTGGATTTTTTTTTCTTTAATTGTTCCCAAGATTCTGATTTTCTTTCGCTAAAGATCCTATTGCTGGTGAATTGTTCTCTGCTTCAGGGAGAGTTATACTAGCAGTGAGTTTTCTGTTCCAGTTTTGATTCTTCTTTACTCTTTGGAGTCAAAATTTTGGTCTTGATGGTTCGCCTTGAAAAATTTTGGGTAGGGCCTACAATGATCTTAGTGCTGTTTCTTACTAGTTACTTGCGCTGGGAATTCTTTAGATGTGTACTTTCTTGTGTTTTGGCTGGCTCAAAAAGGGTGATGGTAAGAGATCTGGTAGCACATAAATATAAGAAATGATTAAAACTACTTACATCCCTCCAGTATAGCTCTGCAAATCACTCGTTCCCTGGAGTGAGTCCTAGACTTTTATAGACTAGGAAAATATAGTTTGACTAGGACAATACCTGAAAATCCTAGAATTTAAAAGACTAAAGCTTGTTTCAAAACATGAATTATCAATATTGTATCCTTTGGAGTGATCCTAAGATACTTGATTATGTTTGTAAACCTATTTATAGAAATATATGTAGAAGTATTGATCTCAGCGAAAGTTCTTAATTTCTGAATATATTTGAATTGCTTTTATGTCTTTGCTATGGTATATGCAAGGTTCTAAAAAGCGCTAGGTGCTAGTCGGGCGGCAGACAGGATTTAGGTAAATTTATTGTATATCGTGTAAATAAGTAGAGATTACATAAAGTACATGTATCGAACAAACTTACAATTTGAAAACACATTAACCATGTAATCAATCTGAGTGTTTTTGGATGATACATGTATCCAACAAGGCAACAAGTATCCATCAAGCTTACTTACAAAGTTACAACATACAATCAAAATAAATGTTCTTGGATAATACCTGTATGCAATAAGCATCCAACAAGTTTCCGTTTTAAAAGCACATTGTCATTGAGCATATAATCAAAATGAGAGTTCTTAGATAATACATGTATCCAACAAAAGAATATAAATAATCTCGGGAAAATGCTCAACTCCATCCAACAAGTAAGACTATAAATGATCTCAGGAAAATGCTCAACTCCCCCTCTTAGTCTTTCCTGTGAGATGAATAGAGAGAAACAAAACGGAAAACTGTATAATTGAGAACAACTAACAAATCATAATCCCAAACAATGCAAAATTCAGCAGAGCATGCATCATTAGATGCCTAAGGAGACGTTACATCACAAGGCCCCATTGAATTAGAGAGACACCACAAAAGTAAAAAAGCAGATGTTCTTAGTTGACAATGGCAAAAAGCTCAGAACGATGTCATGCACTTGACCAGCCTATACTGACTAAATGAATTTTTGAGAACCTAAAATTAAAGCTTCAGTGAACTTATTAGACGATATTAGGTGACTGATGCAGCATCTGTCACCCCACTGGAGGGCAGGAAAGCCAAACTTTTTATAACATTAAGAGAGTGAGATAACATGAAAGTTGTTTTGCTGAGTATCCATTGATTAGCGACGTCGAACAAACTCCGTTGCCCGGTTGAGTGATTCCCATATTATCTATCGCTGTCTCCTTGAGACTCCGTGGCTCTCTTGCATCACTAAGTTCATGTATTACTTGACGAGGTCTCAGTTTATTGATGTCTTCAACAGTAGTCTTGATGAGACAGCTTTCTCCTCCTAGTGTTCGCTTCATCTCTCCAGCTTATCTTGCTCTTTGACTCGTATTTTCACGTGGTTATTCATTACGGATCCAAAGTTTCTCAGTGGAGGAAGCTTGGTATGACAAGGACCCAAACCATGAGAATTTAAGGAAGCTGCTGGAAGCCCTGGAAATCGATGCAGAGCAGTTGATGGCTGACCGAGTTCCTCCACCGAAGTTTATTAGATGTGACCAGCATGGCAGCCAATCGAGGTTTCTTCTTGCAAAGTTGAATCCATCTGTTACCCAGAATTCAACACACACTGACGGTTCAGATATTATTTTCACCGATGATCTGAGCTTGCAAGTATTTTTAGATCACTTGCAGGTCCTTGCAGTGCAAGGCGGATGAAGAGGAGCACTTTATATATATATTTTCGATTTTCTGTTGTCATACCAAAGGAATTTTTTGGATAGTTTTGAAGAGAAAAAGGTGTCTAGTTGTATTAATCAACGGTGCTTTTCGTAACGAGCCATATTTTTATTCGAGTATCTGATATCATTACATGATCGACATTATCGGCAAAATGGCAAATTGAGCTCAAATGACTAGAAATTCTACACACATTAAACAAAATGGGCAATTGATGCTTGTATTTCTTCTAGGGTTCTCCCCTTGGCCTCTGGCACTAGCTTTGCTACGAACAGAACAGTTAAACCGGCAATGGCTGCGTAGAAGAAAAACGTTCCTGAAATCATTCGAACAGTTATTAGTATGCAGAAAGAACGGAAGGGCAGGGAAGAGAGCAGGGAGTGGATGTTTTACCCACCTGCCGAGCTTCTCTCCATCATAAAATTGAAGGTTTATCTTGTTATCAAATAACAAGACTAGAACACCAAACTCAACAGACTTCCGGCCGAACCTTTAATGTTTACCTGACATTCCGATCAAGTGTGTCCAACCATAACCCTGAATGCAGCATCAGTTAGAAATCATTTGTTGAAAAAAACATATGCATTTTTTCTGTTACTTACCAAAAGAGAAAAGATCCATTTTTCTATATATGTATTCAATTTATTATTTCATTTTTTCTGTTACAATTTGGAAGGAATTTAATCCTTAGACATAATCAAATCACAACGCATCTAGATTTCGTACTATTTTTAGCTAATTCCTTTCGCAAAAGAGGAAAAAAAATTACATGTTTCTGATCTGTAGGTATCCGATTTCTTACCTTCTCTTTCTTGTTACAATTTTAGGGAATCTAGCTCTTGACCACCTACCAATTAATGGACCTAAATTTCTAAACATTTTTAGCTATTCTTAACCTATATAATGTAATATTATTTCAAGGATTCTTCCAAGTAATTCAGTGCAGCAGTAAACATAACCACATCTTATACATTCCTGCTAATTTTCTAACTCAAAAGATATGGACAAGTCTTCGTCAAAACTGGCATTATTGGTTGTGTTCATGGTTATTGCGTCCGGTAAGATATTATATATCATGATCCTCTCATTATTTATATGGGAAGGCATACATTATATTGGTTAAATTGAATCAAATTATAATTAACTGTTTGGATGCAGGTCTGGAGCTATGTGCTGAAGCAAGGAACATAGCGGATCCTTATTGCAAATCAAATCAAGACTGCTTGGATTGGTGCGGCATTTGCAAAACTTGCCAATGCTTGAATAGGCAGTGTTTTTGCACCAGATCCGAGTCTGGGCCGCTGATCCCGATTTCTTCAATTCTGGCCATGAACTGAAATTCCAGACAACATGTATTGTCTTCAAGCGTTTATGCGTCTTGAATAAAGCATCTTATCCAACTGAAAAATAAAATAAGAGCTGAGTTTGTTGCCCTAGTTCAATAAACTTGTAAGCCCTAGAGATGAATAATATTTGATAAATTATGTCTCTCCTCTTCTATAATTGTAAACATGATAGGTTAAACTATCAATTTAAATAATCTTTGTTACACCGATTCTGCACATTGATTAAATTAAAATAAATTCTCGTGCGAAACCTTCCACCTTTTTTCCTACCGTCTCTCTCCCCCACATCCCCTTCCTCTCCATCTCTCTATCGATCGTTTGCTACCCTTCTCTCCTTTTGAGTTTTTTATTTTTTAACTTTTCGTGTATGAAAAGGGGAGAGGGACCTATTTCAAAATTTTCACCGTTGTCAGAAAATTTCATATTTGAAAAAAGGGTTTACACCTTCATAAAGAAGGGGATCTCAATTTTCAAAACCACACAATCTCAAATTTTTTGGTGCTTTGTAACTAACTGGGTTTGAATATTATTGATAAAACCCAGTTAGTTACGATCCAGCCTCAAAATTAAGGACCTTAGGCCATCTCTAACAGAAGGAAGGCCAGAGGGCTCGTCTTAACCCTCTGGCCCTCCAAGAAATAAATATTTTAATGAACAGTGCAGAGCCATATTTCTTACCATCTCCAACCGAGGGGCCAGAGGGCCATATGGCAACCATAGCCTTGTGAAAAAAAAAAAAATCATCTCAACCGAGGTCCAAAAGGTCATTGGGCCAAACATAATTTATCATTTAAATTTAAAAACTACAAATTAAATTTAAAAACTACAACAACTTAAAGTTATAGGGGAAAAAAATAGAATTTTTAAATTTTTTTTAAAAAAAAATTGTAAAAATCAAATATAGCATTCAAATTTGTGGCCCGACTTGGGGCTGGCTAGCTAGGTTGGGCCAACCTGTTGACTCTTTGGCCCTTTTTTGTCCCGTGAGGCCCATGAGCCATTTGACCTAGACTTCGATTGGAAACAGTTTTCGAGTTATTTTCGACTCTTTGGCCCTCTGGACCATTCAATTGAAGATAAGATACTCTTGATCTTTCTGTATTATCAGCATGTGCTAAAAGAGGACATGGACTGTGTGATATGGGAATTTGATTATTTTCAAGAATTTTGACAATCTGAACCTTTTTTTTTGCCAAAGAAGCCCCTCTCCGACTGCTTAACGAGTAATCTACTTACAAAGACCATCCCTGTAGTGTGCAAGCTAATTTTGGTTGGTTAATCCGATCAATTCATCGATGGTTGGCAGGTATATTGGTCCTAAGGATGATCCTGCAAGTATTTCACGTGTATCTCACCGATGGCTTTAAAAAACCTCATGAATTGACTTGGGTTAGCATATGCAACTAGATATATCCACCAAACTTAAGTTTTCCTCCTCAAACTCAATTTTTTGTTTTCTTGGCTAAACTCCAATAACTAGAATCCAACAAACATAATTAATCAATCAAAGCGTGTGAAAAACTTCAAATGCAAAGTGTGAAATCTTAGTCCCTGGATTTCACTATTTAAATTTATGTATTTTCGTATTATTAATTTTGACGTTTATATTTGCAGCGCATAATTTTTAGTAAGAGGATGAAAACGCCCTTAATGAACTAAACAGAAATTTTCAAGAACATATTTGATGTGTATATATTTTTCCACTTTTCTTCGTGTATTTGGATAATACTCGTTGATACAAACATGTGAGCACAAATGGAATGTGATTTGGAGCTATAATGAATGAAATATAAATGAGCAAAGGCTAGAGGTAAAATAACAAAAATTGTCCCGTTTTGCTGGAAGGCTCCAAAAAATTTGGGAGCCTTCCCGTTATTTTTTAGCCAGGTGAATGGCTGTGACTTGGGAGGGAAAAAAAATGCCCAATCAGAAGAAGGGAAAGGAGAGAAATGAGGGGAAATGGCGGCCAATGAGGAGGAGAGATGGAAGTGAGGGAACCAATCAGAAGAGAGGAAATGAGGGAAAGAGAAAAAGAGGGGGAAAACCGGGTCCACCTTGACCCGCTCGACCCGACCAAGTACCACGGCCAAATTCGATCCTTTCTCTGGCCAATTTCGGGTGAATTGCATTGATCCACTACCTAAAAATTTATCCTCGACCTTTCCTCTCCCCGTTATACGAAAAACTAGAGTTAATTGGATCTTGATTTGGCAAAAATAGCACCATGGGTGCGTCGAGTGCTCTGCTTTGATTCACCAAAACCTGAAGCTAACTTCGTCCATCACCACCCCCAATCTACTCCCACAAGCTCAAAAACAATGCCCAAGAAGTGGTGGAGGCGTCGAAGCATGTATGGAGGTCAAATCGAAGCACACCCAATTCTAGGGTTCCGACGATTCGTGGGTAATTTCAGGTGTTTCTCGATCGAATTGCACTTCGGCTGAGGTATGAAAATTGCTCCCCTCGACTTGTTCTACATTTCTGTAAAATTTGGTAATTTTTGGAGTTAGTTGAATCTTCCAACGAGTCGGGGCGGCCGGTCACCACATGCGGCGACGCGTGGGCCAAAACACCACTTGGCCTCCTTAAGCTAATTTGGATGCCCTGATTCCATATTTGACATCCGATTGACAAAATTCCGTTGTTTGATTATATTTTCGTTAAGGTCCGCCACTTGGTCATTATATGATTCGACGGTCTGACCGTTGGATTATCATCAAACTTTAATACGTAATAGAACGTAATATTTGAGGACATTATGAATTGACAGATTGGGAATCCGATGTGCGGATCTTCCCGAAGTGGATTTTTAAGTTTTTATAATTAGACATTGATCGCCACTTGAATTTGCGATTGGCAGAGATCCAACCATTGGATTGTAATGAAATTTTATTATGTTGTTTTGGAAGTATAATGTGGACCTTGGGAAGTTACGGATCAAAAATCTGATAGGCAGATCTTCCAGTTTAGATTTCTAGATTTGTGGACCCTACTCACGACCTTGATTGACGGTTGACTTTTTAGTCAACTCGCCTGAATTCTTCTAGCGTGTCGCTGAGCTTAGAGTGTTGCTAAGATTTTATGGAGCTTATTGGGTTCAGCATGATGACGTGTCTTCCTTGATTGGCGTGCACCTCAATTTACGTATCGATGACATCACATCGTGTTATGATTGTTTATTTTATGTGATTTGACTTGCGTATTGAACTTGTTGTGGAGTGTGGTTGATTTGTACATTTGGTTTGAGGTGATGAAATGTGAGGTCTAGTAGTGGACTATTAACCCATTGTTATGGGGTTTGTTGCTTCGACACTTTTTTCACATCTTGCTTCCTTATGTACTTCTTAATTCGTTAAGCCCTTCTAAATTGAGTACTTGGTTCACGTATTGTTTCTTTGAGTGATGCTATATTTCTTGGACTTCCACTCAGTTTGTTGAGTGATCCAGAACTGGGTTCCACTAAGGTTCCGTTGAGTGGCCTGGTTCCCTGCTCCGTCTGGATTCCGTTAAGAGGTTTGAAATCCATCGTGATCCGCAATTTCGTTGAGTAGTTCGGAATTGCATCCTACAGTGGATTCATTAAGTGGTTTGATATCCATTCTACTTAGCGATTTTGTTAAGTGGTCTGGAATAGTATCCACTCGGCTTCCGTTGAGAAGTCTGGAATCCTTTCTACTCCGCGATTTCATTAAGTGATCTGAAATCGTATCCTGATTTGGATTCCGTTGAGTGGTCTGGAATCCCCCTTGGTGTCTTGGTTCTGTTGAGTGGTCCGAAACCCGATGTTGATGGATTTCGTTGAGTGGTCCGAAATCGCATCATTTGACTTGTTGGTTCCTTGGATTCAATTTCAGCTTTAGAGATGTAGGCTTTGCTTTAACCCTGCATTTCAGTGTATTGAACGTGTTATTGTTTGGTGTGATTATTGGATGATGTTAGATATAGTTGTTATGATTATTATTAGACTCATTGACCAATATGGCTAGAGATTTAAGTTGCACTTCGTCGAATGTTCGTTGAGATGCTCCATGCCTGAATTATGGGATTATGTTGAGGCATAGTGATTTATGTGATGATTGTTCAAGGGTAGTGAAGGACGAGCTACGAATGGCTTGATCCCTGTTTAAGGTATGTAGGCAGTCTAACGAGGAGGTTAGATGTAGCCATAAAGTATACGAAAATTACTACACAATTCGAATCTCGAATTAGGCTTTGTACAAATCCCGAAGGCGGGGTATGTTAGATATACCGATACTTGGTGATGTCACGTGCCTAGTCGTATGTCGGGATCGGGATGTGACACAAAGATTAGTACAAAGGTTGTTAATTTCCCCCAAACTTGTAAGGAGTTGTCAATTTCTCCCTAAACTTTAGTTTTGGTCAACGACCCCTCAAACTTTTATAATTGGTCAATTTCTCCCTACAACTTTAATTTTAGCCGATTATCCTCTTAAACTTTTATAATTGGCCAATTTCCCCTAAGGCGTTGGATTTTCGAATTTTTCATCCATATTGGTCACGTGTACAACACATGGCAATTGTTTGAGGGTGAAAAGGTAATTGTGGACAACATATTGTTTTGATTCTTTCTTCTTCTCTTTCGCTAGTTCACTATGTACACTTTATTTGAATTTTATCTCTAATGTGGACAAGGCCCCTCATTTCCTGAGTTGCTTCAAAAAAATGTGTGTTTTTGGTATCGTACCTAGTTACTTGTTGTACAGACTATGTATGAGGGAATATAACTATATACACAATATATACATTAAAGTAGTGAGAAATTACAAGCGTCCTTTTATCTTGACATCAAAATTACGACAGAAAACATATGAAAATCAATCGAAGTCATAAATAAAAAGAGGGATTGTGATCAAGTAATGAGCATGACAAGGTTTTACTACAGTTGACTATTTCCCTAGCTACATTGCATCCTATTAATCAGCTTTTCCTTAAAAAAACGTAATTAATAAGCATGACAAGTGTTTAAAGGTTGAGACGGACAAGTATTCATGCATCTTCTATGTGTTCATGGATGCTCTGGTACCACGTAGAAATTGATTTTTTTTTAATTAATTTGTGTAATAGTACAAACATATGTAGTATACAATAGTTGATTTGAATAGCTAGTCTAATTGATTACGATCAATTACAATCAATGAGAAATCAATCTAAATGAATCCGACAAGATTTGCGATGGCAAGAGAATCTCGGTGACACAACCAAATATATGCTACTGGTTTTAGGGTTTCAAGTACTTCAGTGCAGCAGCAAACGCCACAGCTATCTTTAGACATTCCTGCTACCTAATTGCAAGGTCAAAAAGATACGGACAAGTCTTCATCAAAAATGGCTTTTCTGGTGATTGTGCTCATGGTTATGGCATCTGATAAAGTATTACTTTTCGAGAAAATTTTATTATGCTTCGGAGTCTCTTATCCTATAAAATTATTGACGGTTAAATCTTGGTCATTACATCTTTGAGTAAATGTATTACTGTAAAGAACCCCCATGGTATGTTAAGATACTATGCACAAAGCCTACTAAGTAATCCCTAGTATTTAATTTGATACAGTCCTGTAAATTTTCTAGTTGTTAACAGTAAATAAATTGTTGGCAGTTCTGCAGCAATATGCTGAAGCAAAGAAATAATTTCCCTTTTGCAATACTGATCAAGACTGCATGTATATTTTCCGTACTTGCAAATCATGCGACTGCACACGGGAGAAGCACGTCGCTGTATCCACCCCAGCTCTTTTTTTTTATTTGGGGTTTAGGCTAGAACTGAAAGTTCAGACATGTTTTTGCTCTAGTTCAATTAAATTGTTAGCCCTAGATCAACCATGGATTTGACCTTATTTTTTATTTGCCTAAGTACCTTGAGTGTCAAACGCACACTCGTTTGTTTTTATCAATGCTGAATATAGTCTAAATGCATTCCAAATAGAAAAAATGTGTACTTTTGACACCCAGTAAGCTTTTGATCGTTTGAGTACTCATTCTCATGGTGCTTTTAGCGCATTATATGTGTTTTATTGCTTATGTACCAATGGGTATCAAACGCACGCTAGTTAGTTTTTATTAATACAGAAAACAGTCAAAAGGTAATAGAAAAATTGTGTACTTTTGACAACCAATAAGCTTGTGACCTTGGAGCACTCATTCGTATGGTCCTTGTTGCGCATTATATGTGTTTATTTGCTTAAGTTCCAATGAGAGTCAAATGCATACACGTTTGTTTTTATTAATGCTGAGAACAATCCAAATACCCTTCAAATAGAAAAATTATGTACTTTTCACACCCAATGAGCTTTTGATCTTTAGAGCACTCATTCTCATGGTCCTTGCAACGCATTATATGTGTTTATTTGCTTAAGTTCTAATAGGTGTCAAATGCACGCTCTTTTGTTTTTATTAATGGAGAAAACTGTCCAAATGCACTTCAAATAGAAAAATTGTGTACTTTTGACACCCAATAAGCTTTTGATCTTTTGAGTACTCATTCTTATTGTCCTAATTGCGCATTGTACATGTTTATTTGCTTAAGTTCCAATGGTTGTCAAATGCATGCTCATGTGTTCTTTTTAATGCCGAAAACAGTCCAAATGCACTTCAAATAGAAAAACTCTATACTTTGGACACCCAATAAGCTTTTGATCTTTTGAGTACTCATTCTTATGGTCATAGTAGCGCATTATATGTGTTTATTTTCTTAAGTTCCAATGGAATTCAAATGCACGCACTTTTACGCAGTATCTAACTTTTGCGCATGTGAATTATGAAACATTAGCAAACACACTCACAAAAAGCATGATCATATTTTCTCTTTTTTTTTCACTTGTATCTAACTCTGCATGTGCTAGTATAAGTTTTTGGAGGAGAAGTTATCACTGGTTCAAGAAAGAGCATCTTCAACAGTGTGAAATTGCCCTCACAGTTGGATTGAATTATCCTTCAACCCATAAAAATTTGCTCCAGCAGTTGCGAAAGAGGGTGGCAATTGGTAGGAAGGCAGGCAGCATGGCAGCTACCCTGCCAATTATTGCAAGGGTAGGAGCCCCAAACTTGCACCAGCAGACAACCCTGGGTCCCCCACGTGACGAAGACATGAGCCAAACAGTTATTTCCTGGTGAATTTGTACCGTTTGATTTCCAATGGTCCATTAATCTGGACTTTGGTTATACCCAAATTTTTTCTACAAATACCCAACCAGATATTAAACATAAATAAAAAGAAAAAAAATTATTAAAAAATTCAAAGTTCACACTTGATGAATCTTACAAGTTAAACATTAAAATATATAATGACATGACTACATGAATGGATAATGACAAAAATCTACAACGATAATGACATGTGGAGGATATGACGAAGAAAACATTAAAAAATTAAAAATATATATATATAAATATATATATATATATTTTTTTTTTGAATAGTAATCACTCTGGCCCTTACCTTTCTCCTTCCAACTGATAGACTTGCATAAAGACAATTACTATTTAGAGTAAAAAGTAAGGGCAATTTAGGCAATTACTGTTTAGAGTAAAAAGTAAAGGCAATTTTATTGCCCTTGCCCACCAATTGCCATTGCCCTCCACCCATTGATAGTTAGGGTTCCGCCATTAAAATCAACTGAAAATATGAGTAGTGCCCAACTTATTTATATGCCTATGCAATGTCTCTCTTCTTATTAATGTGAGATTCATTCTCAACAATTTGTAAATAACTGATACTACCCTGGATGTGTAGGCTGCATGATTATATCGCTTAATTTTTCACAAAAACAAAATCAACAGGTGGGATAACTTTTTCACCAATTACGTTACCACTCCAGATCTTGTAAACGTTGAATACTTCTTCAAAACAAACTTTGCGAACTATGGCAAGGTATAGTGGCAGGTCTAGGATTTGAATCTTGGTGGATTTAGTGTTGAATACAATTTTTTTATAAATAGGAATAGAGCGTGAAGTGCGTAAATTTTTTTTTCAGTTATATATTGAGATATTGCATCGAACACTTAGTGGGTTTGTTGTCATTAGCCAAATCATGTTGCGTACATGTCAATAGATATCAGCATATGTCGAAGCAATCTGATGAGTGATGTAGAAATAAGTGTCGAGTTCTGTCGACGCGACTAATTGAGATTTGCTAACATTCATTACATCAAACATTTAGTCGGCATAAAAAGGACCCGTACCAAATATTCGGAGATCCTTTGGACAGCATATGGTACTAGGATCACCTAGGTCCCTATTTCCATCCGCATCTAGCAAGGTATATATAATGTCATATAATCCTAATTTAAGTAAAACTTCGTGTTAATCACCGTACGTAATTATTTAATAATCTATGTTGGAATTTCTGAGCTTCTGTAGCGGTCGGTATAACTACAACGTTTTGTGAGATCATTTAGGTGACGTGGTCTTCATCGTGGGCTTCTGTTGGTTACTTCTGTTGATATGATCTTAGAGTGTGTCCAGCTGTGTCCGAGAAGTTGAGCAAGGTTAGTGGTGGTGACTATGCACTCAAAGATTATCTTTCAGCCCATCCATCCAATAAAACGAGAGCTCAATTAATGTTGGCTCAAGCTAAGATCATGGAAGAAGCACTCGCTAATACCGGAATGTAAGAGCAGGATGCGGGGTTGAAGGCTTTCTTTAGGACAGACAGTAATCACTTGCAGCTACCGACACATTCCCTCTTTTTCTTTTCTTTTTTTGGCAGATGATTCCTATTCTAGTATGTAGCTCCACTATCAGAAATTGTCATTTACCCAACCATCATAATTCGTCTGGCAAATAGTATTTACCCGACATAATACTTATGTTCTTCAGGAAAAAAGGTCAATGTTTTTGTTTCTTCTGAACCTTTTACTAGACAAAAATCGTTTAACGGGCCAAACTATGATCGGGTAAAACTTTTGCGCCAAGGGACATGGGCACGTAAGATGACAACCTTAACGCGACAAACCATCCAAGTTTCGTCGCACAAAGGTATACTTTAGGGTTTAGGGTTTTATTTCGTCGAGCAAAAATAAAAGTTCGTCAGGCAAAAGTGAGAGACATGGTTGACATATTTAATTGCTTTGATGATTTTCGCAGTCTACAAGATTAATTTCAACAATCCAACCGTTAAACTTTTTTGTATATACTCCGATATCACATACGCCAAAAATCACAAAGAACAAACATTCATATATTAGTTAACGAGGCGAAATCTTTCGACGGTTAGAAACGAAAAATCACGATTTAATCATCATTTTAACTCAGACTTTGATGATTTTGTACATCCACACTCCTCAAACCTACTACCACAGGGCAGGGATAAAAGCCATGTCAATTCGGTAAAGGGAATCCATAATCGTTACATATTTAAATACCACTACAACCGAGTAGGGATATGAGGTATGATGTGTAAGTCCCACATCTTAAGAGTACAACAGTAATCTACTATTTAAAATGTTACTACGGCTACTAACAATATCGAGGCCTTTTATTCCATTATATATAGAAAATCTTGGACGAGATGTTTATAAGGCATCTAATTAAGCATAAGTTTTCAATGTGTCGGAAGCACAGTCCAATACACAAATTGTCATAATAGAGTTGGGTGGAAATTTTATTTTTCAAGTTTTCAATCAATTGTAGTATAATAGGCCATACTCCTAGCATACTGAAAAATCTCTCCTAATCAAGGTTTCTTGGAAAGGCTTGCACATAAAGTCCCCCATCAATATGGAGAGTGACCTTTGTCCTGTAATGAGCCACTTTGTGCTCATCAGTCAGCTTGAATATGTAGCTCCTTAAAAGTACTGCACAAATGATCTTCATCTGCTGATAAGCAAAGTCTTTCCCTATACAATTTCTTGGTCCCGCCTGTGTATGTAAACCACAAATCCAAACTCATCACAAATATAATTTAGTCTTCTAAAGTTCGTATCCTTAAATTGTTCATATTTTTATTCAAATGGGCGTGTGTTGTAACTTGTATGTGATAAAGTTGTTTTTTCTTACATTGAAGGCCAGGAATTTGAAAGGGCTTTCTTGCTGGAAAAGCCCATTTTCGTTGAGCCATCTCTCCGGCCAAAATTCTTCTGCATTATCTCCCCATAAATATTTCATTCTGCCCATGGCATACGCATGGTATCCCACTACACTTCCTTTCTTGACACTAAATCCATCTGGCCATGTATCATCAAATAAACAAACCGAGGAATCCTGTGTTTCCCAAATTAGCTTGTTAATCAGAAAATAATAGTTTACGCAGGATTCAAATTCAGAAGCAAGTTTTGATACATTCGGTTTCAGAAGATCATTAAGTAATTAATTACCAGTGGAACTGCAGGGTAGAGCCTGAGTGTCTCAGACAAAGATGCATGGAGATAATGCATTTTGTCAAGAGCTTCTTCAGTAAGACTGGCTGCAACCTCATCAATGCTTGAACTATCTTTCAGATTTGTTGCCTTTCTAACCTCTTGTACAATCTTCTCTTGTATATGAGGATGCTTGCAGAGCATATAAATAAACCATGTAAGAACACTCGCCGTCGAGTCTCTTCCGGCGACAATAAGACAAAGGAGCAAGTCTCTCAAGAACTTTGGATCCATATCTTTCGATTTCAATAGCCTTGAGATTATGTCTCCTTTTTTGTACTGCAGGCCATTCATCCACATTATGTTTTAAATACAAATTAGTACGACTAATACTAAACTAATTAATCAGTCTAGAACAAGACAGATATTAGGGACTGGAAGGTAACTCACTGCAGACGGATCATCTTCTGGTGAATTATGGAGCGTTTCAGTCTTGCTATTGATTAAGTTATAAATAAACTGATCTACCACTTTGATATTCTTCTTCAGCACCGCTTCTGATCCAATGTTTAAGAACCGTCTGATCTTCCAGGTGAAATCAAAATAACGATACATTGTCATTTCGTTTCCTTCATCAAAAGCATTGGCAAACCGAATACATTCTTCATTTGTCCCGTACAGGGTATCTAGTTCGATTCCAAGCAGAATCTTGACAATTGAATCTAAGTTTGCTTTCAGAAACAAATCCTTCATCCCAAAAATAAAGAAAACACCACACGTCGTTATAAATTATACATATTTTCAAAGGGACCGGAATTTGTGCTATGTGATTACCAATTGAACCATGCATGATAAACTTACTTGGATCTCTATTGCTTTGTCGCAGGTTGCAGCTTCATAAATTATCCCAGCAATTTGTACCGCGTTGGTTTTAAAGACTGCAGTGCTGAAGTCTTTGACAATTTTGGTTGATAACACATTGCTCGATATCTTCCTCTGATGCAGCCATTTTTCTCCATCCACGGCAAAGATCCCATCGCCCAAACCGTCTGACAAAACGCTGTAGTGGTACCAACCCTGCAGCAGGTCAGAAATTAAGACTTGTTTTACTCGATAACTATGGTGATCAACATGAATGCACATATCAAATCATTAAACTGCATGTTTTTTTTTTTTTTTTTTTTTTTTTTTGAAACTAAATAAACTAATTTAAATAGAGCCAATAGGGATCTTCAAAAGAAAAAAAAATTACTTGAATTTTTCTAATAACGTGAACTCGACTAATTAGTCTGATAGCATACCCTTCCATAGTTTGCAAAGTTCGTTTTGAGGATGTATTCAACATTTGCAGGATCTGTTGTGAAAACATAATCTATGAGCACATTATACGCCCGGAAAGTTTTGTATTTGTGTGCGATGTCAGTCAAGTAGTGGTGCAGCCTAGAGAAGTTGACGAGGGTTGTGAAGAAATTTGTGGCAATAGGATGGTATCTCTTTTTCTTTAGATCAGTACCCACCCTTCTAGCATGGGATCTGATCATAAGTATAATAGCTAAAATTACTAGTGCTAAATTTATTACTGTGGGAGGGAAGGAACTGGAAAGAAAATCCATGGCACTCGTGGTCGTTGGGATGGTGTAGAACATGAACACTTTGTAGTATCTTATATAGCAGAGAGGCGTTGGACTAAGGTACTCCGTTTCGGGGTTTTAACTAAAGGGGTTCAATATAACAGAAAGGGATCCTAATCCACCAAATCAAATGATCTAGACCATTGAAATTTGATCCAACGGTTAAAGTTATTATAATTTTTTAAGTGAGCTCTTGTTTGTAGCTGTTGGATCAAATTTTAATGATCCAAATTCCCTAATTTAGTAGATTAAAAGGAAGAAACCCGGAAAGGATACCTTTCCCAATATAACAGCAATTTATTGAAAAACACATGGACTGTTATTACAAATAAGGGAAAAAAAAAAAGATGTGTTAGTATTTTTGTAACTAAGTTGAACTTTAGCGTCACCAATAACTATTTTTTATTTGTTTAAGTCAAACTGGTGCTTATTCTTAATTTTTTTTTCCAAACTTCATCTTATTTACGAAAATGTTACCGCACTCGAACTTTGATTTATTTAGGACAATGTCACTCATGTTATAGATATCATATTAAAGTGATTTGTCCAATGCACAATTTTGATCATTGATGAGGCACTTTAATGTCCACATTTCGGAAGAACGTTATTGAGTTTTAAGGACATTAGAGATAATAATTACCACACTAAAATCTATGTAGAAAACGAAATTGAATTTCTGCACATAACTTCCTACAAATAATGCTTGTTTGGTGTCAAAAGTAGATTTTTTTTTCTTCTATTTGGAGTGTATTTGAACTATTTTAAGTATTTGTGGGATAAAACGAGCGTGCATTTGCACACTTTGGAACTTAAGCAAATAAACACAAATAATACGATTTTAAGACATTAAAAATGAGTTCTCAAAAGAGCAAAAGCTTTATTTATGTCAAAAGTTTTCTATTTCGAGTGTATTTGCACTATTTTAAGCATTCATGGGATAAAACGAGTGTGCGTTTGACACGCTTTGGAATTTAAACAAATAAACACGTATAATACACGATTGAGACATTAAAAATGAGTTCTCAAAAGATCAAATGCTTATTTGGTGTCAAAAGTACACTATTTTTCTATTTAGAGTGTTTTTGAACTATTTTAAGCATTCGTGTGATAAAGCGAGCATGCGTTTAACACGTTTTGGAACTTAAGCAAACAAACACATATAATACTCTACTAAGACATTAATAATAAGTTATTAAAAGATCAAAAGTTATATTTGTATCAAAAATACACAGTTTTTCCATTTGAAGTGTATTATTCATTGACATGACCACACCACAACCCACCCACCTTCCATCTCTTTGGAAAAGGATCATTATCGAATCATTTTCCTAGAGATCCTAGGGATCCCGTGATCATGATCATTTATCGTACATCATGCAATCAGTTTTCATTAGATACTATTTACATTTAATTTTAAATTTTAAAATGATTTGACCGCACAATGTACGATGGACAGTCCTGATCACAGGATCCCAAGGATCCCCAGAAAAAAGATCTGATGAGGATCCTTTTTCCCATCTCTTTAGCCCTTCATTCATTAACCTGCCCCGCTCACAACCCGCTCACCTCCTCTCATTTTTCTTTTGTCAAACTCTAGATTTGTTGAATTAGAGAGCTAACGGAATTCAAACTCACATTATCGTACAAGGGCAACACTTCTCTCTACTACTATAGTAAAGAGTCTCTTGCCACTCATCTCCTCTCTCCTTAACCATTCATTTTGTTCATTGACTCACCTCCTCTCTCAGTAACCCTTGCTTTATTCACCCAGAAATCATTTTCATCCTGGGATTGTAATATGATTAATTTTCATCCTAAGCATTTGGAACTTCCTGGGATTAGTCAATGGGCGCTCAGCGGGCACAGGCGGCTCTCTCTTACAAATATTTAATATTTTTAATTAACAAATAAACAAAAAAATGAAAATATCAGATCTCTACTATTCATTTGCACAGCGATTTATATCGAAGGTGGATTGTATGCCCTCCTATTTTCATAGTCTTTTCATGCTTTTTGTGACGTGTGGTTACAGTTAAATTACATCAATATTTTATATTAATTTTTTATAAAAATAATAAAATATAAAATAATAAAAATATAAAATATTAATGTTGTTATCGTACAAACAAAAATGTATAAAAATGAGAGGTCTGACAATCCATCTTCATATATATCAGATCTCGTGCAAATATTTAATATTTAATGTTGGTTGTTGGTTGTTACAATACTCCTACAGAGGACGTGTCCATTAATGCATACTGACAACTGATGTTTGCTACTGATGTCTACTATTCATTGATTGTTACAATACTCCTACAGAGGACGTGTCCATTAATGCATAGTGACAACTGATGTTTGCTACTGATTTTTACTATTCATTTGCACAGCGATGTGTGTTGAATGCTGGTTGTTACAGGGACGTGTACATTACTGCAGACTGATGTTTGACCATTAAGATCAGTGCTTTATGGCTAAGGTCCAAATCTTCAGGATTAACAAAATCGGATGGATTAATGCAGCATAATGCCGAAGAAAAAAAAAAAAAAAAGAAACTGGGTTTTGTTTGTTTTGTTAGATTCTTCAAAAACACAAACCTTTTTTTTTTTTTTTTTTTTTTGTCAAACAATAAATTTTGTTAGATCAGCCACCGACAAAGTTCAAACCCACTCCGTCATGCAACGGCTCAACTCATTTCCACTAATGTGATAAAGGGTCACTTGTGATACACAAACTTTATTAGCTAAACAAGTCTCTAATCATCCAACGTAATTATATGTTGAATTCTTAATTTTTTTTGGTACATTGATATTTTTACATTAAGAGAAGGGGGAGTTCGGCAATGCCACACAATGGACAGCCTAATTTGTTATCAAATTCGCTGTTCACAAGATTTGAACTTAAAACCTGTCATTTCCAAGTGAAGAGGAATACCACCAAACTATAGTACCGAGTAACCGTTGAATTCTTAATTAGTTGTAAGTTAACAAGAGTTTTTAGATAATCAATACTACGTACTATCATATAACTCGTTTGGATGTGCTTTTAAAATGATTAAAAGTGCTTTTAGAGAAAATATTTTTGAATTTCAAAAGCATTTTAAGTTCTTCCTGCAAAAAACACCAATTATGTGCTTCTTCCAGGAAACATTTAAGTATTTTTCCAGAATTTACTTGCATTTTTACTAATAATTTGTTATAAAAACATTTTTATCAAAAGCGATTTTAGTCATTTTAAAAGTACATTCAAACGAGCTCTTAAGCGCCTAGTGGTATATAATATTCTACCATACAAAGTAGGATGAAAAAAAAGAAAAAATTAGTATTCGATCTCAAGTTTCTAATGTTTATTGACTGAGACCTTATCAGTTATTAATAAATTTACATGTCAATTAAGTAATTTTTTGAAATAAAAATTAGTAATTGATTTCGGGTTTTAATACCAACACTCTTATTAAACTTCTAAATAATTTTTAATTCAAAACATTTCCAAAATAAAAAATAAAATTACAATAAGTTTGTATCGATTAATTTTTAGTTTTCAATCTTAAATGTACTCATTCATATAATTTTTCAATTTAACCTAATCTTAAATGTACCCATTCTTAAATATACTAATTTGAAATGTAGCTTCTTTTTCAATATAAAATGTACCCATTTTTTTAATATAAAACCCATTCAATTATTTTCTAATCTATTTTTTAAAAAGGAAAAATAACAAAAAGTTCGGAAAAAAAAAAAAACTTTAGTTTTAATGAAAAATGACAAATAAAGGTGTAGTGAATAGTAGCCAGGAAAAGTAAAAACGCAGTTTTTCGTTAAAAATAAACAATACCGGGAATGTTTTGTTAAAACTCCATTTTTAAAACTTATATGGATACATTATATTTTGTTGATTTTGAAATGTATCCATGTTAAGTTTAATGAAAGAAATTTAATAATGTTATTTGGCCTTACATCCCCTTTTTTTTTGTTCTTTGAAACTGTACCCATGTTTTAGTACAATAATTTATTTAAAAAATTACACATAGAATATACTTTTAATACTTAATTTTATATTAAGACCATATTTTTTAAACGTTTTAAGAAGATGCAAAAATTAATACATATGAAATATAACATCATTTGCTTTTGTTTCCTCTGAACTCTAAGTTACAAAAATACCCTTTTATTTTTAGTGTCTTTTTACACTTCTCTCTGGATCCCATCTCTCTCTCTTTCTCTCTCCCTTTCCTTTCCCCATTTCATATGGTAAATAAACAGATTGAGTTCCGAATTTATTGCAGGGTGGCCATAAAAGTTGAGAAAATTAAATTAAGGGGAAGAAAACTATGTATACATATCATTTGTTTGGGTATTTAATTCCAAAAAAAATGTATTATAATAATGGAACTATTGTAAACATTTCTAGTTTAAGTATGATTATATAAATTCTAAATTAGATTTTATTCTAGTTGTCCTTTCCTATTGTATCTTGTATTCCTTGGGGATGAAGAAATATTTTCTCTCCCTTTACTACTATAAATAATTGCAGCCTATACGTTGAAACCCGGCCCAAGCATACACCAGCCCAAGGGCTATGGTGTCTCATATGCTTGCACCGCACCGGATCACTGCCCCTGCACGGGCCAATTTGGATCTAGCCCATAATCTGGGGCCTGCTACTCAAACCTATTCCTCCGCCCACTGTCTTGGGCCGACTGAAAAAAAAAAAAAAAATTTGGGTCCGCCTGCTAGCCTAGTCCTCTCCCCGTGGGCCTGCAGCCCTACCCGAGACACCCTAACCCAATTTTGGGGCTAGGTCACATGGCCAAAATATCTTTAAGCCATCAGTGGGTTAGTTTTTTCCTTTGGGCCCCGAGCTATATTTGCCTAATTATTTTTAGGCCCAATGGGTTTTATATTTTTTTCACCCACACTTTAATTTGGCCCGAAGTCGAAATAATTAAAATTCACTTATAATTATAAACCTAAAATTATATTTTTGCATATTCTTGTTGCATATTTGTTTGCATATATATTT